GGCTACCTGAGCCACAAACTTCTACTTCTTTTCCTGGGATACGGTACCCTGGACTGGGCAGAGGGAGAAGGTAGGACTGTGTGCCCTACCTTCTGTGTGCCCTATGTTCTGTGTGCCCTACTTTGTGGGTATTCTAAAGGACTTGAGTATTTTAATGAAGACATTAAGCCATTACTCTAAGCCTGTATAACTTTTAAAATAAATAATTCCTATCATTTTCACCAATCTCTGGCATTGAGAGACGTCTTTCCCTGGCGGCAGGCAAGGCGAACCTAGCATGGTGGGGGGACCTCGGAGCACAAGTGGGGTCCTTTCGGTAATAGTATACCATTCCCCCCGCAGGTCTGTTCTATAATACTAATATGGAGGGTTCCCATGGGAAATCAGGCCTGAAGAATACATTGTACCCTTTGAAGCTTGTTTTGCTTTGTATAGCTCTGTTGATATAGACCAGATGTTTAAGTTCAGGGCATAAAGTGTGAACTCCTTATCTCATGAAACACGTCTTAAAGACTATCTGGCATCAGCAGGTCTAACAGACCCTGACCTGAGGCAGATCTCTGTGTTCCTTCAATTCTTATCTATAGATAATACCTGTTTTCTATAACTATAGCCTTTTGACATTGATTACTGACCCCAATAAAAGCCATTCCAGAGAAGGCTTGGGTCATTCTCCACTATAGAGACTTGCCACCCCCTTTCCCGCCAGAACAACAGATTGTATTCAGGATGACTCATTTCATCCATAACCAGGATGAATCCTCGGGACAGTGTTCTCCACAATTATTTATACTATATTTACTTTTTGCTCAGTCATAGAAAGTAATGTGAAAGCTAAAAAAATTAATACTTTTCCTTCCATCTTCCTAGTTCATCTAGGCTGGGCCAAAAAATCAAATTGACAGAGAGAGAGTAACAGAAGAAAATCAAGTTTTAATACATGTGCATAAGGAATTCACAGAGTAAAAAAAATTCCATAAAAAGTCCAAACAAAGACAGTGAGGCGACATTGGACATATAAGATATTTTTGGACATAGGAAAAAGTTGGGAGGATGGAGTATTACATTTCATAAGTGACAGTGGGCAATATAAGAAAGAGAGGAGTGTACATGGCAAGAAAGTTCTTGCTAGGCAACTCAGAAACAGTGAGATAACAGGGGGTATCTAGCTAATAGGATTGGAGTCTTCGTGCTAGGGCAAAGATTCTTAAAGTGATTCATACAAAACTCCCTTCCCAAGGCAGGTTTCTCTGTCTGAATCTCTTGGACAGGAAAGAGGAGAGGGTCTAGGTCACTAAGTTTGTTTCTTAATAAACAGCTTAAAGTCAATATCCGCCAAAAGCAATTTCAAGATGGCAAAACTTTGCTTTCTTTCATAACTTCAGATTTCTAACCCATAACTCTGTGAAAACTTGACTAACTGGAGTTGAATATTTGTTTACTATTCTTTAAAAAATATTTTGCTGAAAGGTATGTAGAGCTCAAGTTACCTGCACTAGCTTCCCCTTCTTCTGTGTGACTATGTCATTCATCTGAATGTGGTTAGGTTTATTTTGGTCTGTTTGTATATAGTTTCAGAGTTTTCCTCTACCTTTATATACACGTATGTTTATATTGGCCTTTTGTTATGTGAAATAGTAACTATCATAGTTTCAAAAGCCAGAACTTTATAAATGGGTGTATTCAAAACCATCACACCTCTTTTCCTTTCTTCTATTCCTTTCCCACCCCTAATCCCTTCACCACTTGTACTAGTTTCCGGTTGCTGCTGTAACAAATTTCCACAGAATTAATGGTTTAAAACAACAGAAATTTATTCTCTGATAGTTCTGAAGGCCAGAAGTCTGAAACAAGTCCTATGGTGCTAAAGTCAAGCTGTTAGCAGGAATGTGCTCCCTCTGGAAGCTTTAGGGAATAGTCTGTTTCCTTGCCTTTTCTAACATCTAGAGCTGCATTCCTTACATTCCTGATTCTGGGTCATTTCCTTCATGTTTAAAAGCTGCAGCATAGCATGTTTTGATTTGGCCTCACTCCGTTTCCATTACTTGGCCTTCTCTTCTGCCTGTAGTCAAATCTCCCTCTGCCTGTCTCTGATAAGGGTATTTATGATTACATTTAGGACCCACCTTGATAATCCCAGATAATTTCTCCATTTTAAGATACTGAATTTAATGATAGTGACAAAACTCCTTTTCCATATAAGGTAATATTCACAACTTCCTTGGATTAGGACCTGGATGGCTATTATTCAGCCAACTGTAAGTAATTAATTTAAATAGTTTCTTGTTTATGCTTCCTGTGTTTCTATTTGCACAAATGATAGATGCATATATGCTTCCTCATTTTCCACCCTTTCTGATACAAAAAGTGACATACTATTAAAACTCTTGCAATTGGTCTTTTTCACTTAAAAAATATCCTAGAAATCACTTTACATTAGTTCATAGAAAATGACCTCATTGTTTTTTTTCAGATTCATAATACTCCATTGTATATATATATATATATGTCACAGTTTATTCACATGCTCTCCTATGCATAGCAATTTACGTTTTTTTCCTGATATTTTGCAATTACAAATAATACTACAATAACTGACTTTGTCATACTTTTGGAGGTGTATTATCTGAGTAGACTTACTTTGCATTTCACTTATGAGTGAATTTAAATATCTTTTCATATTTTTGAGAAATATGTGAGAATGTGTGTGTATGGAGGGGAAATTGTTACCTGGTTAGTAATTTGTCTCTGTTTATTTCTTGTTGTTCAAAAGTGTTTTAAAACATAGTCAAATTTATCAATGTTATTCATTGCATCTGAATTTTGATTCATAGTTAGAGCCTTCCTACATTAGGCTAAAGAGAAAATACATATTTTCTTCTAGATCTTATATGGTTTCATCTTTGACATTTATATTTGTAGTCCGTTTGGAGTTTATTCATGATTACAGTGTGAAAATTGGGTCTCATTTTATCCTTCTCCAAATGGCAAACCAGTTGTCCTACCAATATTTATTAAATTGCTCATCTTTTCACAAGTAATTTGAGAGACCATGTTTACTACATATCAAATTTCCATATATATTTGGATCTATTTCTGGGACTTTTTATTTTATTCTGCTGGCCTTTTAGTCTGTTTGTCTACCAGTACCATGAGTAGATAAACAAACCAGATTTATAGTGTATTTTCATGACTGGGAGGGCTAGCTTCCCCTCATAAACTTTTCTTTTTCCTGTTTTCCTGGGCATTTTTGCATTTTTATTTTTCCATATGAATTTTAATGTCAACTTGTCTAACTCCATAAAAACCTTGCTGTCATTTTTATTGGTATTTATTAAATTTATAAATTAACTTAGAGAAAACGGTTATCTTTATGTTATGGAATATCTTCCCATTTGTTCCAGTCCATTTTTGTATGATTTAGGGAGGGGAGCTTTACAGTTTTTCTCATTTAAGGTTTGCACATTTCTTGATAACTTCATTCTGAAACTCTACCTTCATTGTTACTATTGTATTCTCTATTTTCAGGGTATAAAGTAAGTGCATCCATAAGATCTGTCTTATTGACTATGCTAATTACATCTATAATTATTTTCCTTATTTTTTGTTTGCTTGGTCTTCTTGTACTAAAAGTGACATATTAAAGTTTCCTACTACTAGTGTATTTATATCAATGTTTGTTTGCATGTCCTACAATGTTTTACTTTATAATTGTGTTGCTGAATCCTGGCTAGGCAGCTTGGTTGGTCCCTATATGCCAAGTTTTTGGGGTCAGTCCCCTGTCAGGGGATGTAAAAGAATCAACCAATGAATCCATAAATAAGTGGGACAACAAATAGATGTTTCTCTGTAAAAATTATTCAATAAATAAAAAAATTAAAAGTGTTGCTGAGTTATTTGGTAAATATAATTCATAGCTGTTATGTAATCATTGTGAATTATAATATTAAACCATGTCATGCATCAGGGACATTATCATATTCAGTCTTTCACTCCTAGTGACCAAACCTTCCATTCCTCACCTGGCTATTAATATCTGAGGGGGTAGGTGGGTTTACCTCTCATTGTATATTCCGCTTCTAAGACCCACAAGAATCAGGGACCAATTATAGTGGAACCAATTATAGTGGCACCTTGGTTCTTGAACTTAATTTTTTCTAGAAGACTGTTCAAGGAGCAATTTGTTCAGAAACTGAATCACTTTTTGAACTGAGTTGTTCAAGATGGGACACTTTCGAGTACGGGGGTTTGACTGTATTATGGACTCTGGGAAAAATACCTTTCCAGGACTGTGTTTTATTCTAGCAGTCTTTTGCATAAGGTAGGGTGCAGCTAGAAAATGAAAGAACTCTTTTGGGGTTATTGTTAATAGGAAATTCGATGGTGTACGCAAAGGATTTGGAAGAATGCCAGGTGTACAGAAATGTTTGATAAATGTTTGCTCCTGCCTCAATTTTCCTTGCTGTAATGGGAATGAAAATACAGGGTTGTCTCACAGATTAAACAAGAATGCTCTGTGTGCAATAGCTTTGTAAATCCTAAATACTACCCAAATGGACTTAGAACCTAAATGCAATACATTAAAAAATCTTAGCATTGAGCAGCCCAGTTTGGCGGGAAGGGCCCTCACCCGGGGTGGGGGGTGGAAAAACCTAACTGATCATAACTCTTATCACTCATGAAATGACCGTTGGACAGCCGCAATTTTGGTGTTCTTTTCTTCCTATTTAAAAGCAGCCTCTTAACGGCCTTGGCGTCCACTCCGTGTCTCTCAGCCGGCCATTCCTTTCCCTTGGCAGGCTGCGACTACACACCTGACCCGACCAGTCCCAAGGCGGAGCAGTCTGGAGGCAGAAGGCGGGCGGGGCGCACCAGTCCCGGGGGCGGGACCCTGGCTAAGATGGACCAGTTAGGGGGCGGGGCGGGGCGTGTCCCGGATGCCACTGCGGGCCCAGGCGGGCCCGCACGGGGGCGCCGCCGGGGCCGCGCTTCTTCAAGAGTTGCAGAGCCACGGAGGAGGCGCTCTCTTCCGAGTGGGGGCCCCCCCGCAGTGTCCGGCGGCCGCGCCGAGGGCCGGGCGGGCCGCAGGTCAGTCTGGGAGGCTGCCTACCCGGTCTCGCCCTTGCGGAGATCTGGGCTCCGGGTGGGCTGCGGGCCCGGGAGGCGGCAGGGAACCCCGGACAAGAGCCTGGGCCGCGCCGATAAGACCGGCGGCCCAGACTGCGGGATTGGCTTGCGGCCGATTCCGTGATCGCCGGGCCGCTGGGGGACTCCAGCACGGTTCTCTGGTGTCCCGAGCCCTTTTCATCCCACCTCGTGGGAGAAGTGCGAATTCCCTGAGCAGCGCTTCTCCAAGTGGATCCACGGGTGGACTGTTGACTCCTCCCACTTTCTGAGCCTTAGCCCGGGAATCTGCATTTCAGCAGGCGTTCCTGATGGTTTTGATATAGGGGGTCACAAGACCGCACTTTGGGGACACTTCCCCAGGGAGCAAGGCACTTCCGACACAGTAGGGAGCCTAAGTGGGGTGCATTTAAGGATGGGGCACCATGACTGGATTTGAAATGGGGGTGGTCCTCTGCCATAGGAGAGACTGACTGAAGTAGGGGTGTCTCTTAAACCCTTGCACTCAGGTTGCTGCTGTGCTCAAGTGATGTTCAGTGTGCAGTGCCTGGGCCAGGAGCCTTGGGGTGAGGCAGTGCTGAAGGAGACAGTGTGGGGTGCAGCAGTAAGAGCTTGGAGTTGGTCCTGCTGACCTGGATTGGAGCTATCTCCATCACTTACTACCAGGGCAGTGTTAGTATGGATCCTGCACACATCACTCTATTTCTTTCCTTAGTGTTCTCATCTGTCAATAGGCACAATAAGTCCTATCCAATAGGGCTTTTGTGTGAATTAGGTAATGTCTGCCAGGTGGCTGGCACATAGTAAGCACTCAATAAATGGGAATTATTAAGAGTGACACAGATCTTGCTTTCCAGGGGCTTACACTCCCCCAAACTAGAGATTAAACAAGTGAGGTAAAATGTAGACAGAGGTACCAAGTATATTTGAGAACTGTGCAAAGATTCTAACTTGGGGGTGATTAGGAAGGTTATGCAAGTAGTGAGGTTTGCCTGGGTCTCTGAAGAATAGATAGGATTCCAGGGAGCTTAACTGGGGCAGCATGAACCAGTTCCATCTCATGCCTCAGAGGTGATTTTCTCATCCAGATCATTGCGGGGCTGCTCCCAGGACCTATAAGTAGTGCAAGAAGTCACACCCATGAGTGGTTTTTGAAGGTTGGACCATGTAATAGTTTCTGTCCACTGGCCATGTTCGATACACATGGATCCTTTCTGCAGACTAATGGTCTCCTTCCCCCTTTCATGGGAGACTGAATAAATTGCAGCATCTATGAAAGGATCTTAAGTGATCACACAGTAAAAGCGAATTGCCATGGATGCAGTTGAGCTCATTTTACACTTGCTATGGAATGTGCAGATGTGGTAGATCTCAACTTGGGAGTACTTTTTTCATCACAGTGTTTTTTTAGGTTACATTGAAATGCCACAATCACCCGTGGTTCATCCATTCCCAGGATAAGTTAAGAAATCAAATTCTTAAAACTTCTCTAAAGCGTCAGCCATTTTAGAGTGAAGAAGTCAGATGACTTACAGATGTTGTTTGTTGTTCTTTTGGACCAGTCTGACTACTGGCATACCTGGAATTCTGATCTCAGTTGGTAATTATATCTTTCTTAGTAACCTAACTTAGGAACTACAATTACCATTGTTACTGTAGTAATTTCTGTTCCTTTGTTTCCTTAAATCTCCAGAGCCAATATCAAATCCCTAGTATACAGCTTATGGTAAAATTTGTGTCATTACAGGTAATGATTATCATGTATTAAGCCAGAGGCTGTTCTATATGCTTTTTATATGTTTTGTCAATTATTCCTCTGATAGTCCTTGGAGGAAGGCACCATCCCTACCTCCATTTTGTAGATGAGGACAGGAGCAGAGGAAGATAAAGTATGTGCCTGAGGTCCCAGAGCTAGTAAGTGGCAGAGCCTAGCAGCCTCATCTCATGTTCTGCATGTCCTCTGCTGTCTAGACAGCTCCCTCAGACTTGCTGTTGTTTAAAGAGATATGGGAATATTGAAGATCATAAGCACACCTCACCATTGACAAAATACGACATGTAATACATTGTTCAGTTCTTTAAACAGTCATCTCAACAGCTATGATTTAGGTGGTAATAGTCTGAGCTAAAGTTTTGCAGATTCTCAGCATATCTCAAACTTCTTTCATGTTGTATAAAATCCTTCAATTCAGCCTTGTCAGTGCTGAAGAATTTATTTGAAATAACATTAAAATGTATTTATGTTATTATCTATTGTTGAAAATGTCCGTGGTGATTGTCCTTTGTTTTTACAGAGGGGGACGGGGTCCACCATTGTTTTGCAGTTTCTGAAAGTTTCAAGGCAAAAATTCAGGTGTCAGTGGGAGCAATGGAAGGTCGCAAGGCAGAGGAAGAGATGTTAGATATTCTTCGACTGAATGTGGGTGGCTGTATTTACACGGCCAGGCGTGAGTCCTTGTGCCGATTTAAGGATTCCATGCTGGCATCCATGTTCAGTGGTCGTTTTCCTCTAAAAACAGATGAATCAGGTAAATATCTACAGTCTGTAAGCATGATCATGAATATTTATTAAAATAAGAGTCTAATTTAAATTCCCTTTGATTTTCCTAATTACAAATATTAGATTAGTTTACTAATTAGTGAGATCATTAGGACTGTTTGGAGATTTATTAAATACCAGTTTGTAGACTCTGATGCTTTTGCTGAAAGTTGACAAAAAAGTGAGAGTGTGTAGAGGCCAGCCATCACCTAATTATAAGGATTAATGATATTTTGAAAGTTGTTACATTCATGCTATTCCATGGATAAAGGTATTGTGACTGATTAAATATTTTAGCTTCTTCTGTGGTTTTCAAGTTAAAAAATATGTATCTCTGGCAAAAGTAGTTGCCCTCATAACTAACTGGGTAGTCACTGTTAGTGTAGTTAGTGTTAAACCCATCACCCAGTCTAGCTGGACATAACGCTTTTTGCACATCCTAGAGGTTCTGGGGCTCATGGATCCCATCCCACTTCTGTGTTAGAAGAGAGGGACTGAAGGCTCATGAGCATGAGGGACTGTTAGTAAACCCTGGGTCCTGAGAGATTGCTTTGCCTGCTGAATGGCAGTAGAATGCTTGGGAAACACCGATGGCTGGTGCCCAGGGCTTGAGGTCCATCTGGACGGAAAGGTTGCTGTTGAAAGATGGTAAGCAGAGATTGAGTTATTTTCCTGTCCTCAAGTTTTACCTTCTTACTATCACATTTTCCAACTAATCGAGGGAGGAAAGGAATTATTGAGTAACCTCACACAGAAATGATTTTAAAAGTTCTGTTAAATTGCCTGAAAAAAGCCTTTTATTGTAAAGTAGTACCAGCATAGCATTTGTTTTTTAAAGTTTACATTCTCACAGTACAAAAGGACTAATCTAGTAAATCCAAATACTTGGCATGCCTGGAGCTGGGAACCCTGGGTTTATGTGTCAGTGCTGCAAATCCACACAAACACTGGGCGTAGTAACGAGCACCCTGCAAGCCCTCATTAGAGAGGAACTCCACAGACCTTTCCTGGCCCAGTGGAACTGGAGTTAGGGGTGAGCTCCCATTTCTACCAGCAGTTTGAGGTCTCCATGGCTTTTGCAGTGGCCATAGTAGGAATGTGGTCATTGCATCCAAAATTCCAAATGGAGCTCTGAATACCTTTTCCTATATGGTAGGTGAGAACACAGAAGATCACCAAGTCTGACAACCTATTTGAACATTGGATGTAAACTTTCTTGTGAGAAACATTTCTACCTCGGTCTGATTTTAGTTTGACATGCTGAAATTTTGTCAATGGTCATATGTATCTGTGCAATTATTTTTGAACTAAATATTTTCTAGGGGCTTGTGTTATTGACCGTGATGGACATCTGTTTAAATACCTTTTGGATTATCTTCATGGAGAAGTTCACATTCCCACAGATGAGCAAACCCGAGTTGCTCTGCAGGAAGAGGCGGATTACTTTGGCATCCCTTATCCATACAGCCTGTCCGACCACTTGGCCAATGAAATGGAGACATATTCTTTAAGGTCAAATATAGAACTTAAAAAGGTCTTGACATTTTCTTAAGTTTTAAAATATATATATATATGTGTACATATATATATTTATTATGCACAAAGCAATGTGTATTATTTTGTGTAGCCTGTGTTTTCATGTAAACCAGATATGAGACACTTTTATGTACCTTTTTGTAATTTTTGAAAACACATTCTTAATGACTACTGGTTATTTTATGGCCAAAATTCTATTTTAAGCAGGTGCATTACATGTCTACTCAAAAGTTTATGGAATTCATATTCTTCATTGAAGATTTAACACTTTTTCATGGCTATTTTATAGAACTATTCTTCTCTTGAAGTTTTTTTTTATTTGAAATTAAGAGCAATACTGTAGTATGTGAGGATATCGTGGTATTTTTTTTTTACTGAAGTGGTTTTTTAAAAGAATGGTCATAATAAATAAAAGATTGTATAAAACCTCTTACCCGATTCGGTGAATTTAGAGTTTGTCACTAAGCTAAAACATGTTTGATTAATTCACTTGGAGATCAGTAAATCTTTTTAAAGATGCTTCTATTTTAAATCACATTTTAAAGATCTTACTACTTAATTATCTGTTTTTGCCTTATTGATAAGTATGTTTGCTATTAATTAGCATCTTTGGACATCTAAGAAAAGAATTGCCTTGAATTCTTTGATCTGGATATCAGTTTTTAGGAGAGCAATCTGATGCTGTAGTTGTGGAATGTAAAGAGGAAGTTGATTTGGTTCCAGATCCCCTTCAGGAATTTGCATGATTGTGTGGGTTCTGCTACTGAAGTTATTTATAAATTTGCCACATCTGCAGAATGTGGCTAAAAAAAGCTTGACTGGAAGGTTGGGGTAGGTTAACATTCATCTTTTGAAGTCTCAACTCTGTAGTCTTTTTTTTTTTTTAATATATATTTTTTAAGATTTTATTTATTTTTTAATTTTTTTAGAGAGGGAAGGGAGGGAGAAAGAGAGAGAGAGACATCAATGTGCGGTTGCTGGGGGCTGTGGCCTGCAACCCAGGCATGTGTCCTGACTGGGAATCGAACCTGTGATGCTTCGGTTCGCAGCTCGTGCTCAATTCACTGAGCTACGCCAGCCAGTGCTTCGACTCTGTAGTCTTTTATTCCTTGTTTGTATGCAAAAAGGATGTAGCATGCATACCTTCATTCTGTCTGCCAACATGTTTATTTCAAATGCTTTTGGCATACGGAGCACTGTTCTAGAGATTGTGTGGGACACAAAGAAATACAACATATAGTTCTGGTCCTCAAACAGTTTATACTATAGTTGTGAAAAGTGTGCAAGTAAAATTAAAAACTCATACAGGAGTTAGATAGTGATACTAAATGAAAATGCAAGACATAGCAGGGTCCTATTTTCATTCACTGAGTCTGTAAATATTACGTGTCTCTTTTGTGTCAGGCACTGCTTCAGGCACTCTTCCAGGCACTTGGGCACAAAAGTGCCTGTGCTCGGTGCACTCACAGCAATAATGATGCCACTTCTCCCAGGGCAGGCCCTTGCCGCCCCACTGGGCGAAGCCCTCCTGCTCTGTGCCCCTTAGCACCTCGTGGGCTCACCTAGTAGTATTTATTTAATGTCTGTCTTCTGCATTAGCTGTGCACTCTACAAGGGCCAGGACCCTGTCTCTTGCTCACCATTGAATCTCCAAGACCTTAGACAGTGCTCAGTTCATAGCAGTTCACTTAACATTCAAGTGAATGAATGACTTGGTGGGTAAGTGCCAGATGAGCTCAGACATTGTGTACTGAATTATGTACTCATGTTTTGCAGTGTGAAAGAGCAAGTTAGAATCTGCTTAATCCATGATTGGGTTTGGATTTAAAAATAAGTGTCAACCATGGGGCTAGTCAGTAGAAGGTGAAAGGAAGCTTGAGTCAAATGGGAAATTTAGGGGAAAATAAAGGGAAAAGTAAAAAGGTCTAACTCTTAGTTATTATGTGAAGATTTTAAAATTAAAAGTGATGTTGAAATAAAATGTAATTACCATGTGGAAAAGGATTCTCTAGGTGAACAGGTGTTGGGTTTTCGGGTGGTGCTTTTTTTTGTGATTTGCTCCCCATCCCAAATTCAACATATGCACGTTTGGTTTTTAAAGGCATAAAGACTAGGAATAATCTTTTTATTTCCCTTGTAACCAACTGAAATTGCAGCTTTATGTGAAAGTAAAAACAAATTTTTTATTAAAAATTATTTTCCAGAATTAAATTCAAATTGATATGTATGTTTTTTGCTCCAGGCTTTAACAGACTTCTGTGATTCGTATGGTTTAGTTTGCAACAAACCAACAGTTTGGGTTCTCCACTATCTCAACACATCTGGTGCCAGCTGTGAGAGTAGGATTATCGGTGTGTATGCCACAAAAACTGATGGCACAGATGCCATTGATAAGCAACTGGGAGGAAGAATTCACAGTAAAAGCATTTTTAAAAGGTATGTCCATATTTCCATATTTAAAAATGAAGAAGGAACAAAATTAAGCCTTGGCTTTTTCGGTGAGGTGTTACTGAATGGAATATGTGGTTGACTGGAAGAGGCCATTAACGCCTCTCAACAGGCAGGGTGAGCCTTCAGAGCTGGTGGGATAGGCCTGCTTCATCAGGAGTTATAGCTAAGACCCTTTCACGTATGTATAAACTATGGGCCATCTCTGCGGTCTACTGTGGTTCTCAACTGGGAGTGGACATCAGAATCCCTTGAGAAGCTTTATAAAAAAGAAAGAAAGAAAAACGAAGCCAGGTGCTTGAGTGTCTTGACCATTGTCTGCGGACAGACACACTGGCCGAGGAATCAGCAGGCCCTCAGGGTGACCTAGGACTGGCCTGTGCCTTGGTGTCCTGTTCTGAGAGATGATGAAACACTTTCTTGGTCCCTCCCAGCCTTAAAATTCTATGACTAGAACATGCTAAATTCTTAAGGGTGATTCTCTTAATATTTTCCTTGTAATCTTAGTTACACTGGTCAATTCACTTAGCAAAAAAAAATTTTTTTTAAATTGTCTGGGATATTGAATCGGGACATTTATTAGTGATTAATGGATGATCACATGAGTTTGTTTTTTAGATGGTTAATTATGTCATCATTTTCTGAATTCTTTACTGGCAGAGATGTTTCTGTGTAGGATATGTAACTGCCTGGCAAAGTGCTAGGAAAGTTTTTGTCAAAGTTGAGTCTTTTCTAACTTATCTGGAGTTAGGTGATTTTTTAGGAAAGTTATTTTAAAGATTTGTTGATTTGTTGATTTGTCTGCATGGTCTATATTGTGAAATTAATTAAAACTTTACCACCATGAAAGAGATCAAATGTAGGTTAGTATATTCATATAGTATATTATACACATATAATATAGTATTATATATGTGTCCTCAAAGGTCACAGAACAAACCTTTTCCTTAATGAGCAAGCACTTATTGTCTATTAGCCATATGTATACATACACATACATGCACATATACATTTATACCCAGTAGTATATTTTCATTACCTTTTGCAATATTTCTAGAGAGGCGGGAAATAATGTTCAGTACATTTGGAGCTATTATTCAGTAGCAGAACTGAAGAAAATGATGGATGCTTTTGATGCCTGGGAAGGAAAAGGTACAGTATAATTCTTTTATTTCATGGCAAAAGGTAGACTTACGCTTAGTAAGACAAAGTAAGCTTAAATGATCATTTCTTTTTTTTAGAAACTATTTTGTGTGTGTGTGGGTGAGTCCTGGTATTTGTCATGTCATGGTAACATTGAGATAATTTACTTATAAATCTTTAAACCTGATGCTAGATATTATTAATAGTTTATAATTCAGTAACCTAACACACTTCTCTTAGTTATGCTTATTTAGTTCAATTAAACAAGAGTTTACTCAGCACCAACTGTGTACCTGGAACTGTCCTAGGAAGCGTACCTCTAAATTAAGCATAAAATGTATAATAAAAAAAAGGACTTCCGGCCAAGATGGAGGCATAGGTGGACACACCGTACCTCCACCCATAACCAAGATTGGAACAACAATTTAGAGGCAGAATAACACCCAGAACTGACAGAATTTATCTGAATGTAAGTCGGACAGCCAAGAAGTTGAAGTAGACCCGTTCATCCAGACCGGTAGGAGGGGTGGAGATGAGCAGCCAGGTGTGGGTTGCAGCACGGAGAGCAGAGAGAGTTGAGCGCATAAGGCAACTGGGGGCACATAAGGCATCCGGGTGAGTGTAAGGCATCTAGGGCATGCAAGATCGCAGTAGGTGGACCCTGAGTACACAAGCGACAGCTGGCAGACTCAGTGAGGCAGCGATTGTGGAGCAGGGCAGAGCGTGCAACCCAGGATCCCAGAGAAGGGACTGAGGTCTCACGGAGAACAGAGCTACCACCATTGTACCCTCCTGCCTCCGCCCCCGCCCCCACATACAACGTCACAATCTAGCGACTGGGGTGCCCAGCCCTGGTGAACACTTAAGGCTCTGTCCCTCACCGTAACAGGAATGACCAGACCAAAAAAAAGAAAGAAAGAGAGATGGCTCAAACAGAAGAACAAATCAATGCCCCAGGACTCATTCTCTTAAGCGGCCGAGAGATAGCCAATCTATCAGATGCACAGTTCAAAACACTGGTGATCAGGAAGCTCACAGAATTGGTTGATTTTGGGCGCAAATTAGATGAACAAATGCAGGTTACCATAAAAGAAATGAAGGAAAATGCAGAGGGAACCAATAGTGATGGGAAGGAAACTGGAACTCAAAACAATAGAGTGGACCAGAAGGAAGAAAGAAACAACCAAATAGGAAAGAATGGAGAAATAAGAATTCAAAAAAAAAACCGAGGAGAAGCTTAGGAAACTCCAGGACATCTTTAAACATTCCAACATCTGAATTATAGGGGTACCAGAAGGGGAAGAGAAAGAGCAACAGATTGAAAACGTATTTGAATAAATAATAAAGGAGAACTTCCCCATTCTGGCAAAGGAAATAGACTTCCAGGAAGTCCAGGAAGCTCAGAGAGTCCCAAAGAAGTTGGACCCAAGAAGAAACACACCAAGGCACATCATCATTACATTAGCCAAGGTAAAAATGAAGGAGAGAACCCTAGAAGCAGCAAGAGATAAGGGGACAGTAACCTACAAAGGAGTTCCCATCAGACTGTCAGCTGATTTCTCTAAAGAGACCTTGCAGACAAGAAGGGGCTGGAAAGAAGTATTCTAAGTCATGAAAGACAAGGACCTACATCCAAGATTGCTCTATCCAGCAAAGCTTTCATTTAGAATGGAAGGGCAGATAAAGTGCTTCTCAGATAAGGTCAAGTTAAAGGAGTTCATCATCACCAAGCCCTTATTTTATGAAATGTTAAAGGGACTTATCTAAGAAAAGAAGATTAAAAAAACCATGTATTGTAAAAGGACAGCAAACTCACAATTATTAACAACCACATCTTAAGCAAAACCAAAAGAAACTAAGCAAACAACCAGAACAGGAACAGAACCACAGAAATGGAGATCACATGGAGGGTTAGCAACAGGGGAGTGGGAGGAGGAGGGGGGGGGGAAGGTACAGAGAATAAGTAGCATAGATTATAGGTTGAAAATAGATAGGGGGAGGGTAAGAATAGTATGGGAAATGTAGAAGCTAAAGAACTTATAAGTATGACACATGGGTATGAATTAAAGGGGGGGATGTGGGTGGGAGAGGGTGTACAGGGTGGAGGGGAGTGAAGGGGGAAATGGGACAACTGTAATAGCATAATCAATAAAATATATTTTAAAAAAAGAGAGAGGGGGGAATGAAAATAATTCTGGGTAAGACGTCTAAAGAGCTCTTATAAAACAATGACAATAACCTTTAAAGGCACACGTGGACATTTGGCATTTTTACCAAACTGCTTATATGAGAATTGATAATAACAGTGCTGTTTAATATCCAGTGTGATATGTATTTAACATTCAGTATCTCAATCCTAAAACAACCTTTTATGCTATTTACCATTTTATTGATGAAGAAACTGAGTATCAGAGAGGCTATGCTAGTTGTTTAAGGATCGTGGAAGATTAGCTGTCCTGTGCCCAAGTTGGTTTTTCCCCTTAATTAGTAAGCACTTACTGAGTGTTAAGTGCAAGCGCTATACTAAATCTGAAAAATGGGTCCAAAGATAAATAGCACACATCTCAGGCCTTAAATGATTTTAAAAGCTGATAGAAACCATGATCGCCACTCATGTAAAATGGAATAAAAGGAATAAAAGAGGCTTTTAAAAACTACATCAGCTGTTCCCCCATTACCAACCCTTCTTTCTTTCCTCGTGTTTGCACCCTCACTCTTGTTCCTTTGTCCTTTCTTTTCATACCCCCCAAGCAGACAGGATGAAGTACAGTGAAAGAAGTACTATTCTCTTCAAACTTATTATTCTAGATTTAATTGACTTTGAGACCCTTGGGTTTAAGTTGAGGAACAGACCCCATGGTGTTCTAGTCGTCTTTTGTGCCTCTGGACTGGCGGGCTGGCGGGCTGCCCGGGAGGCTTCGGCAGGGCCTGGCCGGGCTTCCTTCTCTTCGGACTTAGGAAGCTGGAGCAGAGAGCTGGGATCCCTGACATTTACAAAGCGAGCAGCTGCTTTTAACTTTTCAGAAAGCGAGTAGTGGAGCATCACTGTTATTTGATAAAGCTCTGGAAGGCCTGTGGAAGGCCATAAGAGAGGAAACAGAAGTAAGAGAATGACCTCTATGGGAAGGAAGAAGCTAGTTACTGTTATTTGTGGACAATATGTCTTTTGAGAAAACTCAAAAGAATCAAATAAATGTATTTAAATGGTGAGTTGAGTAGACTTAAATAGCTGGGTACAACATATGTAAACATAGAGCAACTTACTTTTGATAAATTAATTAGAAATTATAGGGGGAAATCTCATTTACTATAGCAATAAATAAAACAAAAAGTAACTAGGAGTGCCCTAAGAAATGCTTGAGTGTTTTATGAATAAAATTGCTAAGATGTGTTTATCCATCAATCCATTTATTTAAAAAAGAAGACATGAAGAATGTGGTGAGACATATGATGGTCCTGAATGGGGAATCTGAATATTATAAAGATTTCATTTCTTCTTAGATTACATCATAAGTTTAACATGATTCCTACCAAAATATCAATAGAACTCTTTGGGAATCTTGAAATGATTCTAAAATTCCTTTGAAAGAATAAACAGGTTAAATAGCCAAGAACATTTTAGGAAGTAGAGGTCATTGGAGGGATGAGTATAACTCTGATAGTAAAACATGCTATGGATAATAATAATAAAAACCATGTGTTTCTGGTATAAAAATAGATGCAGAGTTCGATACTAAACCCCAATAAAGTTATAAGAATAAAAATCTATGTAATAAGAAAGTCACATAGTTGATTGACTAAATATCAATGAAAAAAGATATTATTTAATAACTAACTGAGAAGTATGATTGAGGAAAAAACAACTTTAACCTCATATCATTTACCAGAATAATCCCAGGTATATTTAGGAATGAAAAATGAAACTATAATAAACTAAAAGGAAATTTAAGCAAATAATTGATTTCTTAGTAGGGAAAGAAATGATAAGCTTAAAATAAATAATCAAGCTAGATTAGTAAATTTGACTATATATTTAAAGCATTGACTTAAATGAAAAATGAAATTAAAAGACCAATAAAAACTAGGATAAATAATGTTGCATTAACTGGAATAAGAGTATCATTAACACAGAGAGGGTTTATTTTAATTGATTAGAAAATCAACTCCATATCTAATACAAATAAATATGCAAGGTTCATGACCATAAAATTCCCGGAAAGGGAAGTAAGCATGTGGCAGGAGGTTCAAACTCATTATTTATCAATGAAATACACATTAAATGACAACTATTTTTGTATTCCAGATTAGTAAAGATCTCATACATTCTTGGCAGGAGTAAAAATTAACATTATGAAAATAATCAGTACATATCAATTTCATCAAACTTGTTCATATTCTTTGACCTAGTTATTCTTCTAAAGGCATAATCATATGCAGAAAAAGATTATGAACAGAGATATTCAATTAAGCATTACTCATAATAGGTAAAGAAATAAAAACAATCTAAATTTCTTTTTAAATTGTATTTTATTGATTATGTTATTACATTTGTCCCAATTTTTCTCCCTTTGTCCTCCTCCACCCAGCACCACTCATTCCCTTAGGCAATCCCCACATCTTTGTTCCTGCCCATAGGCCATGCGTATAATTTCTTCGGCTATTCCATTTCCTATACTGTACTTTACATCCCCATGGCTATTCTGTAACTACCTATTTGTACTTCTTAATCCCCTCACCTCTTCACTCATTCCCCGTCTCCACCCCATAAATCTGGCAACCATCAAAATGCTCTCCGTATCCATGATTCTGTCTCTGTTCTTCTTGTTTTTTTTTCAGTTTGTTTTTGAGATTCAATTTTTGGTAGCTAGATATGTATTTATTGCCATTTTACTGTTCATAGTTTTGAGCTTCTTTTTCTTAAATAAGTCCCTTTAACATTTCATATAATAATGGTTTGGTGATGATGAACTCCTTTAATTTTTTTTCTTGTTTGGGAAGTTCTTTATCTGCCCTTTGATTTTAAATGATACCTTTACTAGGTAGACCAGTCTTGGCTGTAAGTCCCTGCTTTTCATGACTTTGAATACTTGTTGCTACTTACTTCTAGCCTGAAAAGTTTCTTTTGAGAAATCGGCTGACAGTCTTATGGGAACTCCCCTATAGGCAAATAACTTCTTTTCTCCTGCTGCTCTTAACATTCTTTCTTTATCTTTAACCTTTGGCATTTTAATTATATGTCTTGGAGTGGACTTCTTTGCATCCATCTTATTTGGGACTCTGCTTCCTGGACTTCTTTCAATATTTTTTCAAATAGATTTTCAATTTCTTGCTCTTTCTCTTCTCCTTCTGGCACCCTATGATGTGAATGTTGAAACGCTTGAAGTTGTTCCAGAAGCTGCTTACACAGTTCTCATTTTTTGGATTCTTTTTTCTTCTCGTTGTTCTTATTGGTTGTTTTTGCTTCCTTATGTCCCAAGTCATTGATTTGATTCTCAGCTTTGCCCACTCTACTGTTGTTTCTCTGTAAATTGCTCTTTATTTCAACTAGTGCATCCTCTGTTTCTGACTGTATCTTTTTTATGCTGCTGAGGTCCTCCTAAGTTCTTTGAGCATTCTTATAACTAGTATTTTAAATTCTGCATCTGATAGATTGCTTATCTCCATTTTGTTTAGTTATTTTTCTGGAGTTTTTATCTGTTCTTTAATTTGGACCATGTTTCTTCATCTTCTCATTTTGGCAGCCTCTCTGTGTTTGTTTCTGTGTATTAGGTAGAGCCGCTATGATTCCTTGTCTTTGTAGCATGGCCTAATGTAGTAAGTGTCCTGTAGGGTCTAGTGTCACAATCTTTCCTGTCACCCAAATTGGGCACTTTAGGTGTACCTTTAGTGTGGGCTGTGCACACTCTCCTCTTGTAGTTGAGTCTTGATTTCTGTTGGCAGGCCAATGGGAGGGATTTACCCAGGCTAGTTAGTTGCAAGGATTGGCTGTGACCACTTACCACCAACCTCTGCCCTCTGTGGAGGATCAGCTGTGCAGGGGCAGGGTGGTGTTGCTCTGATCTGGTCTGTAGCTCTCCATTGGGTGCACAGGCTCCGGGGTTTCTGAAGTGGTGCAGGCCAAGGTCTGCCTCCAGCTGTGCTCTGCCTGTGGCCACCTTGTATGAACTATAAAGCAGTCTGTAGATGGCTGCTCCTTGTGCTGGGTGGGCTTAGAGATTACCAGTTAAAGCTGAACTGTGATCCAAAGCTGGCTGCTGTTGGTGGTGGACCTAGGGCACCTTAGCAAGAGGTACAGGGGCTGGGGGCTCACTGAGGCCAGCTGTTTCTTGTTTGAGAGGATTTAGGAAGTAGTGAAGTATGAACTAAGACCAGCCATTCATATGGAAAAGCCACTGTTAACAGCTTGGGTGGGCCCATAAATTGAGTGGGACAGTCTCAGGGGATCTTCAGGGGGCAGTAAACAGTGTTAGCCAGGTTGTTGGAGTCTCAGATATGGCACGTGTGCCATGAGATGAAAAAGTTTGAAAATTGCTGATATAGATGAATGCTCTTGAGAAAAAAAGAACTGGTCAAAAGCAAGAAAGGAAATTTTATGTCACGTTTAATATGTGCATATCATATGAATAGAAAAAAGATTAGAATGAAATGTATCAAAATAACATAAATCATGATTCCTAATTTTAAAATTAGAAGTGAGTTTGATTTTCTTATATATATATTTCAATATTTTCAAAGTTTTATACAGTGAATGTGAATTACTATACTGGTAGGAAAAAAGTGAAAGTTTCAAAAACAAACAGTGGTAATATCCACACAGTGGAATGCTACTTAGCATAAAAAGAAATGATCATTGATACATATAGCAACATGGATGAATCTTCAAAGCATCAGGCTGATGAAGCCAGGCACCAAAAACTGTGATTCCATTTATATGACACTCTGGAAATGACAAAACCAGGGAATGGAGGGGAGGGACCTTTGGGGGTGATGGAAATGTTCTATTTTGACTGTGCTATGATTACATGACTGTATTGTGTACTTTAAAAAGGGTGAATTTTAATTTTCTGTTAATTATCTCACAATAAACCCGACTTAAAAAAATCTTAATGGATGAGATTTAGGAGTGTTTTTGTAGGTTAAGTAGGTTTGGGAGCATTATAAAGCAGTTTCGGAAAGTTATTATCTTAAAACGAGGCATTGGAATGCAAGGTCAGAGAGTTCTTCGTGTATCGGACATATCTATAATATATAATAATTTATATGCTCAACTTGCTAAGTTGTTTATTATTACCAGACCTTTCATGATGAAAAAGAAGACACCAAGGCCCTTCTTGGGACTTGAGCATATAACGGTCATTTTTTCTAATGGTGAACAAATTTTATTCAACATTTTAAGCTTTTCTTTATGAATCTATATATAAATCTTTATGTTTTTTTTTAAATTGAGGTGAAATTCACATACCAGAATTAATTAAAGTATACATTTCAGTGGCATATACCGTATTGACAATGGTGTGTAACCACCACCTCTATCTAGTTCTAAAACATTTTCTTCGCCTCAAAAGGGAACCTCTTACCCATTAAGGAGTTACTACTTCTCATTTGCCTCTGCCCTCAGCCCCTGGCAACCTCTAGTCTGCTCTCTGTCTCAGTGGGTTTGCCTATTCTGTAATATGTGACATTTGTGTCTGCCTTCTTTCACTTAGCATAATGTTTTTAAAGTTCATAAGAATATATTTTCAGCTTTCAATCAGAAGCATCAGGTTTAAAAATTGAAATGAACTTGACTGGAATTTTGGCTGAACACATTAACTCAGATTATTCTTGTTGGAAAAGGTGCTTCTAGGGTAGCGATATCTCATACTCATAGGGTGTGATTATATTCATACAGAGTGATTCACGAAGTTTACCCGAGTTGATGGCCACACCAACCCAACAAGGCAGACAGGGCAAGTGTTAGATACCAACCCCCCCCCACGCCGCCCCCATCCAGTCTTTATCCTGCTACCAACACTGACTTATTGTCAAGGTAACTGACACCTCTTGAATGCAGAGTGTGTGCCAGGCCCTGTCCTAAGTGGTTTACATTTATTTACTCATTTAGTCATCATGACAATCCTGTGAGGTGTGTATTATAATTGTCAACATTTTGCAGATGAGAAAATATAGGCACAGAAAAGTGAAATAACTTTCCTGAGGTCATGTGATTACCAAGTGACAGAAGTGGGATTCACCCTGGGCAGTCTAAGCTCCGCAGCCTCCCCCTGTTAACATCACACCCAGCTGCCCAGGGCCCAGGTGAGACCCGCTGCTTGTCAGTGGCGGAGCCGGGGCTGGCAGCCAGCTCTTCCTAGACCTAGGTCATGAGCTGTGCCTCTACTGCCCAGGGTTTTTGTGGGACCGCTTTCTGTGTATATGCCCCTGCCTCAAATGGGAGGCAGGAACCTCAAACTCTCTGGCTTATATTATACGAAACAATGTTTCTGAACATTTTGCAGTGGACAAAGGCTCTCTTAATTTCTTAATTATGTCTTTTTATCTTCCAGGTGTTAGCTACTGGCGGGTGCCTCATGAGCTGATAGAATGTTGGACTCTGGAAGAGCGGCCTTTACTTGGGAGCCTAAATCACATGGCCCCAATTCGAAAGAGGTTACCTGTGCTCTATAAATAAAACATCGACAACGATGTTTTATTTATTTATTTTTAGAGAGGGGGAAGGGAGGGAGAAAGAGGGGAAGAGAAATATCAGTGTGTGGTTGCCTCTTATGTGTCACACACTGGGGACCTGGCCTGCAACCCAGGCTTGTGCTGTGACTGGGAATTGAACTGGCGACCCTTTGGTTTGCAGGCTGGTGCTCAGTCCACTGAATCAGGCCAGCCAGGGCCTGTTGATGTTTTTTGATTTTTGTTTTTTCAATCTGTGACCTATATTTTTACTGCCTTTGTTGGGGAAATGAATAATAGTTTTTGACCTTACTAAGCTTATTAATCACATAGGTTAATATTCTGTCTTATCACCAACATATAAATCTCGATAAATTCAAAGTTACTAAAACTATATAAAAAGTGCAAATAATTATCTAAAACTGGGTTGTAGTACACTATTTTAGAGAGAATGTGATTTCAATAACACTAATGAACACAGTGGGAATGCTGTGGTAGATAGTTTTCCCCACAAAAGTGAAATCCAGGCTTTATTGGCAATAGTCAAAAATGTATTTATTAGACTTAACATTTGAAATTTCTTGTGACTTATTCTGAATTTCTTTCTCCTTTTGCTGCCACAAATAGCATTTTAATTTAATGGTATTTTCTTGTATTCTATAAAATTATTAGCATTAATTTCACTTCCCATGTGTGTCTTTTACTGTGCTTTAAATACATTTAAAATCATCTTTCTTTTTTATAGTCTGGGAATTATTCATGGCTTTCGGAAGTTCTGATTTCTCGACCATCTGCTTCCGAACTTGATTCCATACCCCCTTGACTTTCAGAATGCTCTCTTACTTGTGTCCTCTGGATCTTTCTCAGAAATGCTGAGTTTAATCAGTTTTTAGTAGTTATTCAACTCTTGTGAAAACAGATATTTTTTCTTAAAGGACCTCATTTTATTATCATTTCTTTTGCTCATTGAACCTATATTTAGCACATATTGTTTGGGTCTGGAGCAGTGGATCTCAGCTGGGGGTGATTTTGTCTCTCAGGGAGTATTTGGTATGGTTCGGAGCCGTTTTTTGGTTGTTGCACTGTGGAGTGGGGACTGCTACTGGCACCAAGTAGGGAGAAGCCCGGGATACCGTGAACTGTCCTGGAATGCACAGGGCAGCCCCCGCAGCAAAGAATTGTATGGCCCAAAACAGCAGTGGTGCCAAGTTGGAAGAACCTTGGTCTAGAGTCTAGTGGAAGATGCAGAAGATGTGGACAGAAAGCAAAGTAGCAGCAATGGTGTTCGGAGACTTCTCTGTGTTCATTGTCTCTCCTCTGGGATTTTATTAAGCATCATTTTTGATTCATCAACAGGATAATGATAATGATGACTTAAAAGCACTCGTGAGGTCCCAAAGAGCCATCTGATTCACCAGATAAAACTGAGTTCTGTTCAACAGAGTTTTAGGGTTGAATACATTGTGTAGTGGCCCCCGTATTCATGGGGGATGACTTTCAAGTCACCTAGTAGATGCCTGAAACCGCAGATAGCACGGAACCCTGGGTATTCTCACATTGTTTCATTGCCTTTGAAGACTTGTTTTGGATAGTCTCCTTTCTCCTTAAAACTTGTTTAACTCTGCTGGAAATGTGGCAGCAGCTTCTTCCTCAGAAGACACAGCTTCTCCAGCAATTTTTATATTTTCAGTGCACACCTGTTCCTGATCAGGGTGGCCCTCCCTTACTTGCAGTGAATGGCCTGTTGTGACTCGTTGCAGGGCATCCCTACTGAAGTCTTTCTACAGGCTCAGTGCTTTTTGCCAGAACGTGCTGCCCTCAGTCGGAACATGTTTTCTGTTCATGTCCTCCACCCATCCTAACCACCAAGCATTTGACATGCACTGTGACCCTAACGTTTGTAGTTTGTGGTGTGACAGCAAAACTAAGCACAAATTTCTTTTTTTTTCTTCACAATTTCATGGGTAGAAGATTTGTTCTTACTGTACATCTTAGCAACCTCAGCATATGATATTGTTTTCTTTCCTTATTAAGTCAAGAACTTTTACTTTCTCACTTCAAGGAATAACTTTACAGCTCTTTGGCATATCTGAATTGCCAGCATCACTACTCTTGTGTTTTGGGGCCATTTTAAGTAAAATAGGGCTATTTGCACATAACAGTCGATCGGATAATCAAGACGCTGAGCATGCATAGTGTGGAAATGCTGGGCGCAGGGAGTGGGGCGATGCGAGATTTCACCACACTACTCAGAATGGCATACAATTTAATACAAAGTATTTATTTCTGGAATTTTCCCTTTAGTACTTTTGGACCATGGTTGACTGTGGGTAGCTGAAACCATGGAAAGTAAGAGCAAGGATCAAGGATAAGGAGGGATCACTGTATTTGTGTTCTTTCCTACCCAGGGCAATCTTGAACGCCCAGGCTGTGGTCCCATTTCGCAGAATTGGAGCTCACTGGGCTCTCTTTGCCTTTGGAAACGTGGCGATGCTGGGGGGGAGGGAGAGGACACGGAGGGTTGCTGTTACACTCTGTGTTCAGGGGGTGGCCTTCCTGAGGTGGAACTGGTGGCAGCAGTGGGAGGAACAGCAGATTTCTGAGACAGTGGTGGTTTGTGAGAGTTTTAAGGTTATGTAAAGCAGTGTTCCCCCTTTAGGCTTTTTATAATGAAAAGCAAACTCACTTGGAATCTTTGAAGATGCGTCCACTACTTCTCTAATTCAAAAAGTGTCTGACCCTGCCATGGGCCTGGCTGTTGTAGCAGTTCCCCAAATGTGTCCCCTAGAATGCTAATTTTATTGGGTGCCAAAGGCTGCTTACAGAATGATTGGGAAATAGGGATCCAACCAGGTTCAATAGGTGCCCTTCCTGTAGGCCTCCCCAGAGTCTCTGATGCATTCATTCAGATTTGAGCACTCCAAGAGCAGAATAAAATATGCAGCAGCATTTCTCAAGCTTGACTGTGAAACCCTTTTTTTCCCTTCAGTAAATCTCTTGAAACCACTGTTCTGGGAAAAACGACTCGGGATATTTCTGGTTATCCTCTGGATCACATTAGGATTTTGGGGAACATGTGGTATAATTCTCATGTAACATCTCATTCCCCAATTTTAACGTGTTGGTATTATACGTGATTTTAAAAGAGCTTCTACTCAAGTTGAAGCAATCTTTTATAAACTTGCTACTTTACTTAATTTACTTACTGACCTTGGTGGGAGAGGAGAATTGAGGTCTGTTGGTGCATATAAACCTCTTGATTCTAATTCTTGACAAAAACCTTGCCGCTCACCTTAAAGGTGAGCTTTGGAGATGGTTTCATTAGCTACTGAACACGTGACTGCTCACTGTGCCATGCTTCTGTGTTCGCAGGAGACTGGCCCCCCTTGCCGAGGAGGAAGAAGGTGTGAACTGTAAGATGGCTCCTAAGCCTGTCAGGTTTTTGGGCCCTTCCACCAGCACCCAAATTAAGGTCAAGAACTCGGCTGCAGTCAGGGTGCCTCCCAGCAGTGCCCTTCAGGCCTGGCCCCCGGCCACGGCACAGGCACACCAGTCTTCAGGCAGGGGCGCAGCTCAGCGCTCCGCACTGTCTAAAGCCCCGTCCCCTGCCGGCACTGAGGTACCCGGGCATTCCCCGGCTTCCCACGGGACCTGGAGTGCTGAAAATGGAGCCGCACACCCACCTCCAGCTAAGGTTCTGCCCCCCGACAAGAAGGCCACCCCACACCGAGTGATAAAGCTGAGGCGGACTCCCCTGTGTGCCCCGGGGCCTTCCTCGCCCGCCTGCTCAGCCGCGAAGTCCCCAGGGGACCCAGCGCTGCTCGCCACCGAGGCGCCGGCCTTGAATGTGCGGACTGAAAACTTGCAGGGCAACACGGATTGATGTCCTGTTTGCCTCCAGAGCTTCCAACCCAAGTGACACGCCTAAGTGACACTGTTGATGTAGTGGAGGTGAAAACTTAGTATTTGTATTTAGGATAATTGTGGGAAAAATAAATCGTGTGCTCTAAGAATGGACGAGGGGAGACTACAGGTGGTTGGGGCTATAGTTACTTCTCATTTTCCCAACTTTTAAATGATTATTTGTCTATAGACAGTTTGAATTTCAGGTTTTTATTGTTTTGAATGGTTAATCGGTAGTAAGGCAACAAAACCGTGCAGCAAACATCACTGAGAGGCTTACCTTGTTGCTGGAATGAGTATCGACTTCGGGCACTTTCGTCATCTTACTCGCTGCTGCCCAGGGGTGGGAGTGACTGTGGGCTGAGATCTTCCTGTTTGCTGGAATAGAGACCGTGATGTTAATGCTTCCCTGAGCTACATCACAACCAAGAGGTGGGAGAGAAAACGGAGATCACGGTGAACTCACTGCAGGTCCCTCCCAGTCTTAAAAGGCAACGTGAAAAGAAGTGAGAGGAAGGAGAAGAATGATAATGTGAGATCACACTTTGACTTTCACTTAATTAAATTATTTTCTTTTCTAGATTGGCTTTTCTTTTTTCCATTAGCAGATTTATTTATACATCAGAAGATTTCTCGGGATAAGGACTGTATAACATCTCTTTGGAATAAATTGTTAAAATATCTTACTTTAATTTGTAAGTGTAGTTTTAAATGTACTTTGGAAAAGAGAAGTTACAAGTTTAATATTTAACTAAAGTTAAGTTTTGTTTTTCAGCAATGACCATTGAAAATTCTCTGATTATATGATATGATTTTTATGCATAAAATATCCACATCACTTGAATTTAATATTTTAAAACAGAATATTTTGATTAATCCTCTCTTTTTCACGACTGTTAAGTTGTGTGTGTTTACGCATACATGTTATATTTTACAGTCGGATCATATATTGCTGCCTTCAGCGTGTTAAAAATAAGTTCATGAAGCAGGGTACTTTTTACTTAGTGCATATCATTGTACTTGCATTGTTTTGAAAGAGTAAAGTAACTAATTCAAAACATTATTTTACAAAATAAAGTAAAACTTTTCCATAAAAAGTGCCATTTTCTATTACTGTACTTGTTCTTAAGCCTTGGAGCCCTTTAGTAGTTTGAAAGCTGGTCAGTTTATGTAGGTTATCTATGTCTGTTTCCAAAATTAAGCAATTTAATAATTAAGCAGTTAAGCCTGGGTAGGTAATATGTGAAATAATTAAACCAGTTTTGGGTAGCTATCCAAATACCAGCAGCCTTTTAAAGTAGGTGGTTTATTTGGCTAAAAACAAACAAACAAACCAAAAAACATTTAACTGAAGAGTCATGAATGACATTCTTTGTAGAATATATAAAATACTCAGTTACTTTTGAAAAAATACTAGTATAGAGAATCCAGACATTCTGAATATCACAGACTGCAGTGAATTTTGAGAACTTCCAGTGAGGACATTATTAATATTGCTTGATCTTGGACATTTTGAACCGCTGATTTATATAAGAAAATATACTACTAATAAACATGTTTATTTTATACATAATAAACATTTATCTGGAAAGGAAACACGTTGAAGATTAATCATGGGTGATTCCGTCGACAGTCTTCATTTCTTTGCATCAAGCAGTTTAGGGCATAGCCTAGTTGGCACGTTCAGCCTTTTTGGGAAGAAGCTTTGGGAGTAGTTACTGGGCTGAGGTGCAGCTGAGGTGGGAAGCAACAAATGGTCCCATGTGGGTATCAGGGGTCAGAGTCATACTCAGAATGTTGGAGGACCTTGAACCTTACCTTCTTTGAGGTGGTTCCCTGGGGTTCAGGTCAATTTCACATGAAGACACATTTTTCTTAGTACCAGACACTGTAAACATGAAAGAGTAACTCATCATAACCCATTGTTCTTCCTGGGAAAAATAAACATTAAAAAAAGGAAAGCATGCTTTATAAATAGTGATTCACTATTATTACTTTGGAGGAGTAAGTTTATGTGGTAGTTGAATCAAGGGATACAGTAGAAATTTGTAATGATAAGTAGGATACTAGCTAATGTTCATACAAAAAAGGATAATGGATTCTGCTCTTCCAGGTAATCTCTCTGTTGAAAAACTGGTTTGGAACTGGTTATGTCGTAGAGAGCCTAAGGCTAGCAATGGGACCTACTGAAGGGTTTGTTTTGTTGATATTTTAAAATATTTCTGTTTCGATATTGCCTTGTGTTATAGTTTATAAAGTATTTTCACATATTTTATTTCATTGTGTTCATTATGCTTTTTAGTGTCAGACAACAACACAATGAAGCTAGTCTTTCCCAAGCCCTTAAAGATCCAGTAGAGGAGGGTCAGCAATGTTAAGGCTGTACAGTAACAGTCTCCACCCATCCACTCCAGCCCCCACACACGTTTCAGCCCCATACTCTGATTTCTGCAGGATGTTACAGCATCACTGACGGAGGCATGAGAGAGAGGGAGGAAGTAGACGTGAGGTGTGAGCAGAAAGTGTTAAGCATTGGATGACATGTCTCCTACTACAGAGGGACGCCCCCCACCCCCGCCAATATTTTAGAAAATGTGTCTGAAAGCAGTCTTTGGAGGGTGTGGAAACTGATTTGCCACCATGCAGAGTTTATACCGTCACAACCAAGTGGGAGTTCCTCAGTACTGTGATCATTGCTGATGACAACAATTACCGTTAGTAATGACGGAAGCAGTTACATAACTTGTCAACTTGTTTAAAGTCAGAGACATGGATCACAAGGTCCCAGAGCGGTCACTGGGGAATGTTGTCTGACTTCTGAGAGAGGGAAAAAGCGGTCTGACCTCTCTTCCTGTTTAGTGCTCCTGCTAGAATTGCTAATGCAATTTCTTTCTCATTCACAGACTGAATCCTGTTGCTTCTGTAGCAAGTGCTAACATTGAAAAGAATGGTTGATTCACTTTCCAGTCTATGGTTAAATACATTGTAGGTATTATCCGGCTCTACGTTGTTTTTTAACATAGAAGTCATACTTGGCTATACCTGAGAAGTTTGTAGAAAACATTTTGATTTAATGGAGTTTTGAATATGCACAAATTGTTCTGTAAAGGGAAGAATACTAACATTCATATGAATGTAAGGTTGCCTTATAAAGGATTATTACATCTTCAGTCCCTTTGAATAGCTTTAATCTACATTTGGTAGGATGTTGAGTAGGATGTTTGGTAGATACTGAGTAGAAAGTATGGAGTTGATAAAATGAAGGGAAAGCGCTCCTGTAACAAATGAAAAGTATTTTCCAATGATTTACATGTTAAGTCATTGTTAAATTACTCCTAAATTAAGTAGGAACATTCTAATTATGGAAAATACTGTCATTTTCCCATATGCTGAAACTTACCCTTGAAACTGTCAACAAGTCGCTGATTCTTTAGCTGGTGAAGGGTGGATGAGTGATTCTTTGCTGAGGGCAGTGGTTAGTATGCAGGGTTTCATTCATGTAGTACAGCCAAAAAAGGCAACTGCAGAGAGAGCTAACAGAAAACAAATCGGTTTCCAGCTGTTTTCAGAATTTCATATTTGCGGAATTTGGTTGGCGGTGCAGCCTCAGAGGGGACATTTTCACTGTCATCCTGTCAGCCTCATGAGACACACAGGGTTCACATCGTCACAGAAAGCTAATTTCTCTTTGTGCACATATGTTGCCTCAGACAGCACACACACGTCTTACGTTTGTTAGCTGTCTTACGTTTGGTTTCTGATGCAGGCTGTGGCTACGACAAGCAGAATTTCATGGGGACCCTTCAACCAGTGTTTTTGCCCTGCTTGTTTATTTAACGACTTTTCATCTTACAATGTTGCTTCTCAAACTTTTCCTTTCCTTCATTCACCCTAAAGCTCTCATTACCTCGATAAAATTTTGCTCTGCTACAAGAGTGAATTGGGGGGCCTGAAGCTTTAGAAGAGAAACTTGTTTTTTAAACAGCACATCATGGAAAGCAAAGGTAGTACAATTTTGGACATTTTCTTTCAATAGCCACTCTTGCAGGGACACACCCTTTAATTTCTCAGTTTGGAAGATGTGGGAACTCGGCCTCTGTGTCGATGGCACAAACATCCCAAGCACATCAGACACTGTACTCTGGCTGTGGGCTGGACAGTCTGGGTCGCGTAACCCAGGCCGGACCAGTCAAGACCCAGTGTAGCTGGAAGAGCAGAGCAACCTGTGCTTGTTCATCCACTCTGTCTCTGTTCCCTTTCTCTGCCTCCCTTGTCCCCCCCAGATCAGTGTTACTAGCAGTGCCGCTAAAGCCACTCGGGATTGGGTAATTACTTTGGGCGACTGCTGTGTGCACTGCAGGGTGCTGAGCAGCATCCCTGGCAGTACTCCCTACCTCAGTCGTGACAATCAAAACGTCTCCAGACTTTTCCAAGTGTCACCTGGAGGTGAGGGATGAGGGTAAAATCGATTACCCCCAGTTGAGAACCATTGATTTAGTTGGGTGATGTGACCTGAGCAAAATAACTGCCTCTCCTCACTGGGGGCTGTGGGTGAGTAAGGGCACGCTGGAGCCATCAGTCACGGAAAGGACTGGAGACATGGGAACTGAGGGGGTGGATGCTCCCAGAGGAAGGCTGTCTCACGGCCACCAATTAGACCATCTATCCTATTAGCTTCCACTTACATTTCTGGTTTCGGTAGAATCCTAGAAAGATTTTTGTTTGCTCTTCTAACTAATAAAAACTAAGATACAGTCATCTAAGGCCTTTATGTATTAACTTATTTAATGCACCAACTCTGTTGTGTAGGTGCATTATTATCCTCATCCACCGAAGCGCAGAGGGGCTTGGGAAGCTGCCTAGCCGCTAATGGGGAAGGATGAGGCAAAGACGGTTCACACGCACGTGACCTCCTTGAGGCCAGGCCCTTCAGCACCATGTTAGGCCTCCTCTTATAGGGCCTCACTCCGTCACCAGAGAAGTAAGACAGGACTTAGTTTCTTCTGTGTGCCGCATAGTTATTATTTATTTAACAAATGTTCTTGTAGTGCTTTCTGAACAATATGCCAGTTATCAACTCTGCTTCTTGGTTCCCAATCCCCTCTTTGCTGTCCGCTTGTGATGCTGGAGCTGGACCCCACATGCACTTCTCTGTAGTCAGCTGGCTTTGTCAAAGGAGGGACCCCGCTGGGAGAAGGGGCTTCTTTCTTGTCTAGTCTGTGTGTCTGTGTTCTGGCTCCTGCAGCACTTGGTTAGGTGTGGGGCCCCCAGCGGCCCTCACCCCAGCGAGTTTCATGACAGCTTCTGGTTCCCTGGGTCCCTCTGCCGCAACCCAGATAATTCAACAGCATCCCTGAGCAGTTGCCTGGCGAGTTTTGCGGGTACAGCAGCCCAATACCCAGTCTTTCAGTGGCATTCCTGCAGCTGGGCCCTGGAGTGAGCCAGCTCCTTGGGGAGAAGCTCCCTCATTCCCCAGCATCGCGGGGCTGGCTTCTGCTATCAGCACCTCAGCCAGCCTCTTGTCCTCTAATGGAACACAGCCACATCCTCCCCGACAGAGTCAGAATCTCAGCCTTGGGGGCAGGAGTGGGGGCAGGAGAGGATCCCCCAAAATTGTCCCTTTGGGCACTCTGCCTCAGCTCTGGGTATAGCCTCAGCTGTCCCTGTATTTGCTATTTCTGTATTCTTCAGTAACTAATGCCCTGTTACTAATTATTCATATATAAAAATAAGTAAATGTACATATATACAAATTTACATTATATATATATATATATATATATATATATATATATATATATATATATATATATATATATATATATATATATATATATAAAGCTTCCCCATTTAAATTACTGTGTGGTTGGTTGCTGACTCCTGACTGGAACCTGATCCATACAAAATGCCAGGTGTTATTTCAATGCTTTGCAAATATTAACTTATTTAATCCTTATAACAACCCCTCAAGGGAGGTATGGTCACTAGCCCTGTGTACCTATGGAGAATCCAAGGTAATGAGAAGTTTAGAAATGTGCCCAAGTTTAGACATCAGCCAGTAAGAGGTCGGTGGTGGAGCCTGAATGTGAATCCAGACAGTCTGCTATAAGCCTTGGAAGTTTAGCTGCTCTGCTCTCTTCCCATCTTCTCTGGATTATTTTGCACAGGTCATTTAGACTCCAGAGTTTTCTAGAGGCTTTGGAGTTGATCAGTCTTTCATATCTGCTCTCTTTTCCCTGTATTTATTGGGTACGTACTGTACGTCAGGCATTGTCAAAGGGGCCAGCTTGCTATGTAATGATGGCAATTTATAGAAAGTATGTTTTCTCAGAGACTAGGAATAGGAAAATATAATTCCCATTTAAGTATCTAAAGTTAAAATAAGGCAGTTTTCTGTGTTTGACAAGAAGACTTTTTACACTTACTTTCTGTAGGAATTCTTTTTTGCAGTCACTTTTTTTTTTGCCAGAAATATGTATACTTTTTCAGACAAATAAACACATTTGCTTTAGAATTTACTTAATCTCTAAAATCTGTGTTTGGCAGTTTCTCCTGTGAAACTTGAATTTAGTGATAGCACCAAAGCTCTGCTGAGCTGCGGAAAGAAGCAGAGTTCACAAACAAGGGGGCCTCCGAAAATCAATCACCAAAAATAATTTGTAAGAACCTCGTGTGACGAGAGCACCACTGTGCGTTTTCTCAGATAGCAGGACGAGACCGTGTGGAGTTCAGTGCCTGAAGGGCTGCTGTAATGAGATTAAACTCCGTTTTGCCTGATCTGCTTCCAAGATTTGGGGACCTGGTTCTTGGAAACTAATAATAGAAAACTTCCTTAGAATTTAAAACCTTGTCAAAAGCAAAAGTACAAAAAAATAAAAAAAAATAAAAATCCTTTTAATAGCTCACAACATATAGAATTAAAATTGTACTTCAAACTGTGAGGTAACAAGAGAATCCCTGGGCTTTAGCACCTCTTCGTATTTTCTTCTCATACGATTAGAGCTGTTAAGATAGCTCAGTACTTCCAGGAAATGCTGGAACGATGTATATTAACCAATCAAATTGTTATTGATTGTTGTCTTTGGCTATTTTATAGTTTCCTTAGGAAATTTGTGAGCAGGTGACTGGCTCCTTCTCTTTTGCTTCATTTTTGTTACCTGGGAGCAATCTGGAATCCTAGCCCACCCGTGCCTGAATTTTAGGCGTGGCCTCTGAAGCAAGTGCGGTAGAAAGGTGCCATTACACTTTTCACCAGTGCCGTCACCGGAACGTCTGCCAGCAGATCACAGCCTCACCCTGTCTAGACACCAGAGGGCACTCTACACAGGAGTACTGTAAGAAGGCAAGGAGGGATGCTGGGAAGGAGGAAGCTTAGTAAAAAGGTGGGCTTCAATTCAGGCGTATCTCCCTGTCTAATTGCTCTCTCTTTTCCCTCCCCCCTTCTCCTCAGTTGCCTGGGGAAAAGAACTACCCAGACCCTGGATTCCCTCTTCTCTTGGATAAATCAAGATTGAGGCTTAAACCTAAGCTTTCAGAGTGTGGAGAGCAGGGCCTGTGAAATGCGTTGGTCTGGTCAAGACAGGATGAAGTATATAAAACCAAATGGTGTCGCTCTTGTCAACCAAGATGGTTGCCACTTTGGCTCAAGAAGGAAACAGCCTAAGTCCCGCCAGGGCCCTGCCAGATGCCCGCCATGGGGTACACACAGGATGTCGACAGAGGGCACATCTGATTAGGGCACTGGGCGCTCTTGGCCCCGAGCCACGGAGTTTCCCAGCTCAGCCAAGTGCCAAGGACCTGGGTATAACTGGGGTGCACCTCAGAGCCGCCAGTGAGACAGTACAGCTCCCAACAGGAGACACTGCTCTAGGCCATGCGCTGCTGGAGGCTGTGCCTGACTGAGCTCCGGGACTTCCATGCTGCCTGCGGCACTGCACCAGTTGGGCCAAGACACCTGCTCGTCCTACCCTTGACTGGGCTTTGGCCTTGGAACCCATCAGCGGCGATCTTCCTTGGGAGCAGCTGATGGCTCACTGCGCACTGCGCACTGTCTCCCGGACCTGGGACTAGCATTCTGGAACTCTGCGTCATTAACGCCCCATTGACTGTTGTGTGTTAACTGTGTGTGATAATATACAGGACAGGATATTAAGCAATGCTGATGTTCCATCCCTGTGAACCTGCATTTAACAAAAGCTGAGTTTGAGCAACAGCTCTCGCGGCTCTCGTCTTGTTCCTCGCCGCTGCTGGGCACAGACTCAGCGGGGCGACCTACTTCCCCTGAACCGGAGGTGCACCCTGACTGAAAGAAAAGACCATAATGTGACACTCCTCGAGAGGGGTGGTCTACGGGGGTCATACTGAGAGTTCTTGTGACACAGAATTCCAAAATCTCTTTCTTTGGCAAAAATATGTAGGCCACTTTTGGTCTGACAACTTTTTTCTTATTAACCTCATTTGATGTTGCTTCCCAAAGAATGTTTAATTAGAATCTCTTTTTCTGATGTCAGCAGAATGGAACTGCTCATGAGCCTTAAATGGGATGTAGCGGGCTTCTGGTTTCCTCCCCCAACCTCTTGTAGGGCCTTCATCGAGGCTGAGTTTTGTACTGATTTGTGTTTAACTTCGTGAGCCTTGCTGTGCTAAGCCGCCCCCAGGAGAGTCTCGCCAGCACAGAGCTGGAGTACGCAGGGATTTTCAAATGAAATGTAAACGTGGCATATAATTGGGAACCCAACCGGGAGGTTTAAATTTCACAAATGGAGTCTTGATACAACATAGGTGAGATCTGAAGTTATTCCATCTTCATGGGAATTAAAATGTTTTAACCTCTGCTAGGGAAATGTTCAAGAAAGAAGAATCTACTCTGGCTATTGTGCATTAAGTAGGGAGATTAGAGTGCTCGGAGCCTGTGGGTTTTTTAAAGGAGTTTAAAACATTTTAAAAGAATGGCTGAATTTGACCCAGATGTCTAGGGTCACACCAATGGTTCCACTAGAACAGATAAATAACTTAGTAATAGAATATTTTAATAGCCTGACATTGGCACCAAAACACTGAAATTACCATTTCAAAATGCAAACTAGTAAATGCTCACTTGCCCAGGGTCTGCAAGAAAGGCAAACTCTAGGAGAAAACACAATCCAGTCCAAACATTTTTTAGCATCCCTTTTGTTTCTTTCCAGTGAATCGGGAGCATTTGCTATGTGTTTAGGAATGCATTTGAGCTTTCTTAATCCCTAGAGCACCTTGAGCGAGTGAGTCAGTCACGGCCAAGGGTGGCTGGGGCCAGCGCTGCCCAAAGCAGGTGTGCTCCTGACCCGAAAACTGCTGCGCTCCTGTCTCGAGAGTTATTTGTCTCATCTTTAAAGCTGTCACATATAAACTGACATTTTTCATTCTTGCTCCGCAAAATTTGTGCAAAGTCCTTCTGTCTTGTAAAATTTAAATTCAGGGCCTCAGATGAAGTAAACGGGGAAGGCAGTGCTGAACATTTATCTTTCTTATTTAAATGAACAACTCTTCCTTCCTTCCTGGAATGTGACTTAAAATTTAAAATTCCTATTAAATCTCTGGGTACACCCAGAGACCTCAGAAAGCCCTCTATGGAGAGAGCAAACATCCTCCTGCACTTGGCAAAAGAAGAAACGGATGCTTGTGTGATGTGCAGGCTCAGCTGATCAGTGGAAGAGAACTACTGAACCTCAGTTGCCAGAAAACATATTATGTTGACCTGAAAAACAAGCACTTGCACTTGAAAGAGAACAACAAATCTGTAGGACACATGAAAGTTTGATGGGAAGCAGTGTCCAAACTGAGCTGCCCTGCAGTCAAAGATAGGGACTGGAGGCTCCTTAGGGTTTGGGTCCCCCAGTGTCCGTTCTCTCTTCCTGAGGCTGCACATAGCCCTTCTCATACAGCCCCTCTCGGGCTTCTCGAGAGCTGGCCACACCCCAGCTCTGGAGACGGGTGTGGGGATGGTGGTGGTGGAGGGACTGATTAGCCTATGCTGATTAGTGCATCTCATTTGCTGCTCCTCCCCACTTTGATGATTGGATGAGGGACAAGCCTATCAGCCATGCAGACCAATGATATGCAGGACCTTCGCTGGGACTTCTGTGAAAGAGACTTGCCTCATGAGGATGCTACCTGGACTCTCTCTTCTTCTGGACAGTGTGGGCAGGGGGATGATTTTGAATCTTAGGAGTGAGGTGGCCATTTGCTACCATTCTGAATACAATGTCAGCCTAAGAACGAAGAGGCAAGTGTGATAATCAAGAGAGAGCCCTGATCAAATTGGACCCCAGATACACTTTGACACTGGACTTTTCAGTCACTGGACCAATAAAATTTTATTGTTTTAAGCTAAACTACGCGGAGGTTTACGTTACTTGCAACCAAACTTCCAAACTGCCACATAGTATCTAAGACGACTGGGGTGCATGTCCATCTATATGTGAGCAATGTACTGGCAGGGGCCATTGGGTGGCAGTGTTTTTTCTGAAAGAATACTTGTCCCACGGGCAACAGTGCTGCACAGAGCTCCGCGCCACAGCCTCTGGTCTCTCGAGCTGTCTTGAAAGCACTACACATCCATTTAATAAGGAAGTGGGCATCAATAAAAGAAGCAAGCCAGGTGTCAAATGCAGCATATTTTAATTTGTTTCAAATAAAGCAATATATGTATATATATATATATTTCAGAAAAACACCAGATGTTAAATTCTACAAAAGCGCATGTGTCTTCGGCAGATCACGTTTGTCTGATCAATAAGAATGTTTTTCAACATTAACTCTCTAAGGACGATCAATGGACCGACATCACTGCTACAACATAGGGTGCTACTGAGCCTCTGACCTTTAGCCACATGTTGATTTTCCTAACAAATGAGTAAATACTGCCTGGCTAAACTGCTGCAATGTCTTGATGAGAAAAAGCATCAACAGATCAAGCAAAGCCGTGAAAGTTATGAAGCAAGCTAGAGCTGATTATTAGAATTAGTAAAAATGATTAAGAGAGGACGACTCAACCGCATAGGGTTTGTCTATTCTGATTGACTCTCTTTTGGCAGCGAATTGGGTCAGCACCTCGGGCAGGGAACCAAAATTGAGTGAAAAATGCTTTTTTTTTTTGTCTCCTCGCTCAGGCCACCAACGTCACAGCTGGGACTGAGAGAACCGCAGCATCTGTGGACACTTCTATTCTCGTGGGGCAGAGGTTGCACTGGGAGACCCTGGAGACGTTGCCCCGGAAGGGCCTGGCCTCCGCGTTGTCTGTGGCGTGCTGCCTTCGCCGCGGCTTTTCCGGGTGCACCGGGGCCTCGGGGGTCTTTGTTCCCAAAGGGGCCTCTTGGTTTTTGGCGCCGCCTTTGTTTTTGGGACGGAAGCCGTTGTGTGGCTGTCTTCTGTGTTCGTGGCGGTTGTTGCCCTTCACCATTGGATCGGCGTCGCTACCACTGCCCTGGGGCTTGGCAGACCCATTTAGCCTGTTATGATACTGAGGATTGAATCTTCGTCTTTGGCTAGAGGACCCATTCTACAGAAAGAGAGAGAGAGAGAGAGAGAAACACACACACAGGTATTAGATGCCAGCAGACCACCGACGAAGCCAGTAGACATCGGGGAAACCAACTCTCTAAGCCACGGCTGAGCCGTTTTTATGCCCCGGAAGAAGACGACAACGTGCAAATGAGGGCAAGCTGACAAAATCCTCGAGCTTACAAGAACAGTGGGCTGTCTTGTAAATGAAACCCTGAGGACATTACTGATATTGAAAGAAAACTTACTGAAGTATAAGCAGACAAGTCAAGAACCAGGTCAAAGAAAGTAAACTTAAACTATAACGGAATGAAATGTAGCACAGACAGGAGCCGGGCCATGATTCTCTGTGATGAGAACTTTGGGGACATCCTGTACAGACTACGTACACAAATTCTCATTACATAGATGAAAAAATGTAAAATTCTGTTTGTAATTTTCCTTCTCTAAAACAGCTTCTCTCTTATTTTATTTCAAAACAAGTATCACAGTTCAGAAATATTATCTTGGGTAAACACAGGGGGGAGGTGGACCCGACAGATCCTGGTGGGAGGTGGAGGTGATGCCTAGTTTCACAGAGGCAATCAGTTCTTTTTCTAAACCGTGCAGTTCTCAGCCAACGACTTTTGAAGCACCACGTGAAAAACTGGCCACCTTCAGCAAGGCGGCAACCGAGAACATAAAGGGGTGGGTACAAAGAAAGCAATGGGGTGGCGTGCCCGTGGCTGTCGAAAGGAAACATGTTTAAATTCCTTGAGGTCAATAATAGTCCACATTCACCAAGAGCTCACAGTGTACCAGGCCCCACCTCATTCATCATCACCATCACCGTTTAATACAGTGGCTATTATTCATTTTGTCTTATAGAAGAGGATGACAAATTTAAGGGACTTGGCCCAGGTCTTCTGTTAGAAAATGGTGAGGCCACTCCCACTTCACATCTTGTCTCCTGGCAAGAGTCACAGGTAGGTCGTTACCCGAACACAGACCTTTATTGAAAATCAAACTTCTATTATTAAAACATGTAATGCTATGAGTGACAAATACATAAGAAGTTCTTCATTTGTGCACTGTGACTGGACGGGACAGGTTGAGGGCGGACCCCGCCAACGGTTCTGGGCTCAGGGCGAGAGTGCGGAGGCGGGCCCACAGGCCGCTCGCCTGCACACCCACTCCCACCTCTGGCGCCATCCCATGAGGTGAGGGGTGCTTGCACACACGGATGGGGCACTCCAGCCTGCACACCCAGGCTTCGTCCCCACCCCCACAAATAATCACCCTTTGGACTCGGTGGTGTGCAGACTGGTAGTGTGGTCTGCTCGTGAGAGGATGTATCCAGGGAAGCGGTCTCAACACCGGGCAGGCTTGGGGCCACTTGGGGATAGAGTTCCAGGATCTCAAGTGCTAGCAGCACGTTCCAGAAGGGAGAGGACAGGTTTGGGGTTGTCATGTCTCTTTGGTCTCGCTCTGGAGGGAGGGCCATGGCCGTGAGAGGACCAGGAGGGGTCACTCTGAAGCACAGCACCCACCCTTCTCGACTACGTGTACAGCGTTTCCGCTTAGATGTTTCAACTTGAGCGCGCCATCGCCCGCAACGCTTTGCTGAAAAACGGCTAAACAGTGAGCTGAAAAGAATCTGCGTAGGTAGCAGGTAGCTGCTACGTAGGTAGCTGTGCATAGCAATTTAATCTGGCCTCTTTTGTTTTTAAAGAAATTGTGAAAGGGAAATTCAGACTAAATTTTAGACTTTTAATAATGAGCAAAGAACAAAAGCTGTGGCGATGTATTTAGATTACAAGAAAAACAGATCTGATTATGTTCTTAAAGCTGTGCATGTATGAAATGCTCCTTGTTAAAGCAAGATTTTAAAGTTCATGAAGACATTCAGGGCCGGAGAAATGCCTGTCAGCGTCATTAATGAGGATTCTGAAAGTCCAAGGCCACAAAATGCAACATTTGTTAAAAAAACAGCATTTTGGAAAGCTGAAATGTCTTTATAACATGCCTGGCTCCTGCAGCATCAAATCCCATTTCCTGTTCATTCTCTAATGATAAGGGGCAAATTACTTCTCAAGGACAGAGTGGAGACGCAGAAGGAAGACTGTCCTGTGGACGGACACTTGTATTTTTAGAGGATATACTAGATAAGAATTAATAATGTCACTTTGAAATGTGTTCTCTTTGCTAAAAGCCCAAGAGAAGAGAGAGAAGTGTGAACTAACTTTGGCCTCCTACTGATAAACTAAACATACGAGGGAATTAAAGAATCTTAAAAAATAAATGTCGGGTTTTTTCTCGCTCAGTGTCGGAAGCCAGGTTCCAAATCCTGTTCCCACGACTGTGTGAGTCCCTTCCACATGTGGGCCAGGTACCAGGGCCTGGGGACGGTGGCCTTCAAAGGCACGAGAGGAGCTGTCTCTTGTAGGGGGACTCTTCGCTAACGCTGTGGGAGCGTGCAAAGGCCACTTCCTTCACGGGGAAAGGCCCCCGTGAAATGTGGACCAGAGGAGACCCGTGAGGCCAGGCTGTGCTGCTGGGGGTGGGCGGGCCTGGGTGGGATGCCAGCAAGCTCTGTGTCCATCAGCAGCTGTTTTCTTCCTGGGCAAGTAAGTGGTTTCTTCCTGGCCCCAAGGACCAGGGTCTGCAGGACCCCTGGAGGCAATGCAAGGAGCCCCCCCCCCAGAGCACTTACCTGCTTGTTTGGTGGCAGGGGCTGGTGAGAGAGGTCCACGGTGCTGGGAAGGTTGCTCGTCATTTTGGGGTTCACTGCTTTACCCTCGGAGGGCTTGTTGTGATTGGACGATTTTCGGGTAAAGTTGCTCTGTTTTCCAGAGGCTGCTGAGTGAGCGGTCAGCAGCGGCAGCAGGGAGCTGCAGGGAGTTCTTGAGGAATAGTTGTTCTTTGGATGTGTGACTGAAACGAGAAAGCAGGAGGCGTTATGGGCTGAGCCATAGACACGGCTGCCTCCCCAGCCCATTAGGAGATGGAGAAATTGGCAGGAGCTTCAGAGAACCATTAAGAAAAGTTTTTGTTTTTAGAGATGTCATTCGAAAGGGCACCTTGGTGCCTAGAGAGCACTACATTTCTTCTGTGAGAATCACTGAACTGTGATTACAGCATAATCGTCCAAGTTGGGAGACGTTGGAAGGAAATAAGACTTATCTTAGCAAGTTTAATACCCTTCCTTAGGTCAAGAACCACCAAGGGAAGATGGACAATGAAATCCTGAAGTGCCCAGTCGGCCTTGTCCAGATATGTGGTTCCCACTATCACATCTGCTCTTCTGTCCTTGGCGGATCCCTTGACCAGCTGGTACTCAGAGATGCAGGAAGACTGAGAGGTACATGGACCCGTGGCCCATCACGGCCGTGATGTTCTGAGAGCACGGGACTGGGGTGGTGACGGGTGTCAGGAATTTTGTCACCTGGGTTGTATGTATCCCCTGACCGTGGGGCCAGACCAAAAGACGCCCTAAAGCATCTTTATGTTCCAGTAGAGCTGCATCATCTGGCCTTTTTATCAGCCCCATTTTCTTCAGCCCCGCTGCAAATCTGTACCAATTCCAACACTTAAGTCAATGCAGGCTAATCAGACAGGTCCCTGCAGGGCTCAGGCGCATCTGTTCAATGTTTATTATCCCCGTCCACGCTGGTTTGGGAAGGGTGGTTTCTGATGGGAGGATTTCTCTGCGACTACGCTGAATGAGGCCAGAAGGAATCAATCCGAGGGTAAAGTCACGATTCCCTCTCATGGGTCACCAGGATTTGACTGCTAGGCTGGACAGCAAGGCCTTTGAATCTTAACATTGTCACCAATTTTTAGAAGCAATTTTCTCCGCTACCTGTGTTGGATCAGACTTAATCCTAGGGTTGGGTCCGCCAGTGGATTAGAAGTGACTAGTGGGGATCAGAGAACACGAGAAACGGAAAGGACAGGGATGTATCTCTAGTCTGTTCGTTTTGTCAGTGAAGTGCGATGGCACACGGGGGCTGTGCAGACATCCCGGGGGATTTCAGTGGTTCTTGTGCTCACCAGACTGAGTTTCCCGGGGGCCTTCCCTCCCCACAGCTCAGACACCACTGCCACGGCTGGTTCAGTGGCCGTGGGCACTCCACATAGCTGAGAAGGAGAGGGCTTTTGGAGAGCTACTGCCCCCAGCATGGGAGGCTGCCTTTCACAGGGACGCCTGGAATTCGTGAGGGATGCCCCTCCCGCCAGATGTCCCTGGGTGAAGCTGCACCTCCCCGCCCCTCAGACGGGGAGGCTCACTCGGCATCCAGGCCTCCCTTATCATCAGGCCGAAGTACAAACCAGGGGGGACAGCTAAATTTCCAGCCGTGAGCCAGACTGTTTGGGGGGGAATGGCACACACATAGGTTCTTTCATGAGGGAGGAAGCATGTAGGAAAAAAAAAGATAATAATTAAAATCAGATATATGCCGAAGATATGTGAACAAGGGTGTTCGCTGCAGTGGTTATTTTAATGTGAAAGCTGGAAGCAACCTACATGTCCACAATCAGGGGACTGGTCATGTTAATTTTATTTAAATAAATTATGGGTTAATTTTATTGGCATGGAAAATTGTCAACCATGTATTGTAAAATGATAAAAGCAAATTCTATTACTATATATGTATGCAGCATGGTATAGCAAATTATGACATGTAGTATAAGGTGTGTAATATATTGATATAATTTACACAGTAGACTGAATGTGCACAGCAAGTGTGAAGGGTCCACCAAAGTCATATCTTACTCTACTGTAGTTCTGAGACTTTCATTTTTATCATTATTAAAAAAAAATCCTCACCTGAGGATACTATCTATTGATCTTAGAAAGAGGATGGGGGGCAGGGTGGGGGGGAGGGAGAGAGAGAGAGAAACAGAGAGGGAAGCATCGATGTGAGAGAGAAGCAAGGATTGGTTGCCTCCTGTACGTGCCCCAACTGGGGGCTGAACCCGCAACCTTTTGGTGTACCACGTGACTCTCCAACCGTCTGAGCTACCTGGCCAGTTCTAAAGGTTCTGTAACTTTTAGATCAGGCTTGTATTTTTTACACTCAGAAAAAAAGCAATTTCTACTCTGCTCAAAAAAAAAAAGTGCTGCCAAATCTTAATTTTCAGCTGACTGTGAAGCTGTGGATATTCAATGTCCCTCACTGGTCCCTTCCTCCTGGTGGCTGCCCTTAAAGCCACTTTAGTATTCAATTCCGCCTCCCCTGGTGGGTGGGCTAGAGCAGAGGGATAAGTATCAGCCAGTGTTTTTGCACATTAGCTGCTCTAATTAAGGCTTAATAGCGAAGAAGGCTAAAGCTAATGGCTGAAGTGAAGTCTTTCATTATCTGCGGACTTCACTCGGCAGAGGGAGAGGCCCAGCACAGTAGCTGCGCCCTTCTCGACAGCAGCTGCTGGTTCCCAGACTTACCGAGAAGACTCATTCTCCGTGTAAAGGCCTCTACTGTAGACGCAGGAGATGTGAAATGAGAGGCGGTTTATCTGGCAGTGTTTAAGAAAAGTTTGCGAAAGGTGTAAGATAGTTGACCTACTCTGCTCTGCTTAATAAATCCTGGGGATTTACTGATGGGCAGTGGCATTTGAAGAGTCTAAGTTCAAATCTTGACATTTCCAGTGACTTGTGTCATGACCTCAGATCATTAAATCTTGTTGGACCTCAGTGCAGCCCCCTGGGGGACCGCACGCCTGACATTTCCAATACCAACTCCAAATAGCACCAGGCTTACTCATCCAGCATTACTTAGCAAGCATGCAAAACTCACTTTCTCCGCAGAGCATGATTTGGGACTTCAGCTGTTCAATGTCACAGGAGAATCGGGCAGCTTTCCCGAGCTCTTCGTCATATTTACGCTCGCTGACAAAGTGCTGGAAGAAGAGAGAGAAGTAAGCCAGGAGCTCCACGACAGAGGTGACCTCGGCGCGCTGCAGACGCGGTCACTCAGCTCTTCTGCTGCTGCCGAGGGTGTGAACCGGGTAGGGAGTCCTGTCAGCTCCCTCACTGTGAGGGTCCATCGAATCGGACTTGGTTTTGACCTGCCTGAAACATGATCACCTTCTCGTCCTGGGAGTATGTGTGGGGCCTCTCTTCTCCCACTGGGGCTCAGACAAACCTGTGCTACAGGCAACATGTGTGTCTGGACTCTCTGACCATTCAGCATTCCTTGCCTTCCTTCTAGCATTGCATGTCCGGTTGTAAGTTCTGGGGTTGCATTCAGACCATCTTCCTAATTTGGCCGATGGCTTGCTCAGGTGTTATTGCTTCTCAAGAGAAAACATGTCATCCTTCCCTAGACAGCCCTCTCCATTTTAATAGGGAACCAGGAAGCCTAAACAGCCTTTAGGAACTAGAAAACATTTTCTTGGTAGAATTCCAAGTGCTGTTAAAGGAAGGGGGAGATTATTTTTCAATGCATTTGAAATAAAGATTTATGTGTAGGTGACAGAGTGAGAAATACAGAAATAACTATGACTCAGTTCCTCCTTGAGTTTACCAGAGAGTTTGCCACATGGCAAGGGAAACAGATAACCACTAAATACAATATAGGGTAGAATGTGGTGGGTACTTCAGGAATACAGAAGAGGACAGAATTATTTCCCACTGAGAGGTGTGGGGGGTTATGTAAGGGGAGCATTTGGGCTGAAACATTAAAAAATGGGCCAAAGTTGTAACAGATAGTGTCATTTTCATCTGATCACTGTATTATGGAATCGGCACTATTATCATCTCTATTCTACAGAGGAGGAATTGAGGTTCTAAGAATATGTAAGTTAGCCAAGGTCACAGGAGCTAGCCCCTTTCACCCCAAAGGCTGTATTATTAACCATTTTATGTTCAGCGGGGTTTTGATGGGCAGACATGAAACTTAGAAGATGAATAAATTGCAACACACCAGGAAGCTGGCAACTTCATATTCCTCACTTCATGTTCTGGTAAGAAGGGGAGAGAACACGGGATGTATGCTGGAGTCCAGCTGTGGATTTCATTCTGAGCAGGAGGGCTGGCCACACAGGGGAAGCTCAGATCCGCTCCGACTGTGGTGGTGGGGTGTTAGGGTGGGAGGCACCACAGGCCAGAAGGGAAGTGAGAAAGAAAAGACCTCTAGAGCCCCCAGGACCCTGGGGTGGGGGACCCTTATTTCCTGTTGCGTTTTATGCCTAACCAAATGGAGGGGACCAGAAAGTCACGTGACACATTCTACCATAACTAACCAGTTTGATGTCCAGATGAGCAGACAATCCCACTTATAAAACCTGTGGCGACTGTGTCTTCTAAGTACTCTGGTTCCCAAGAAGTAGGTCAGAAGCTGGGTACACATGTGTGCGCGTATGTGTGTGTGTGTTTAGCATACTGGGGAAAAAGGAGAGATTATGGGAAAACTTATAAACTGTAACTTCCTATTTTATTGTAGATACTTGCTTTGGCCATTCTGGTAACCATTTCTTCTTCTGGTAACTGTACGCCAACATGGCTTCAAAGATCCACAGTCTTGGTGGGTCCGTCCATGCAGGACTCTCTCGGCTAAATGGTGGACATGACCCGAGTGGAGGCCGATCAGAATCTCTCTCTCTGGGACTTGAAGCAAGTGGGGTGGCACCACGGCTGATGACACCTGGAGGTCACTCACTGGGATGGTGCCCTGAGGAGTGTCTGGTAAGTGCTGCTGCCCAGGCCTCTGCCTCACTGCGGCCCGGAATCTTCAGGTCACGCTCTGCTCTGCTCTGGAGAGCTACACTTGTGTTCTTTCAAGTTTTCCTTGTTTTGAGGTTAGCCAGGGTCAGTTTCTATGGCTTACAACTAAGGACATTTAATGAATACATACACATGGGTGGTGTATCCTTAATAAAAGGGCCATTAAGCCAGACAAGGATGTAGGAAAGGCGTCTCCACATATTGTGCATTCTTTAGAATCCTTACGGTTACACTAGGGTCATACTTAGGGTTTGTTCACGTGGTATGTTTATATACATACACATAAATTGTATATGGTGAAAATAATGATCCCCCATCCCAGCTGTAATTCATGGTTGAATACATGCTATTTAGGTCAGCCCCCACTGACTAAGAAAAATAGCCTGTCCCTCCCTCTGTATTACTATGTCCCTTCAAACCACAGTATATGCTTAAATATAGTGATTAGACGGTTCTTCAGCATTCTGTTCTCTATTTCCACCTTGTGAAAGGGAGCTGGGTGTGTGATGTGAGGTCCTCAGAGGGCGGCACTCTATGGGTGCAGCACCAACACAGTGGGGCTCAGCTCTCTGGCTCAGGGTTCAGGCTGTGATTGTTCAGGACTGACCTTAATTTCTGCCCTGAGTTCGGCCAGCTGCATCTCTGCCATCTGACTGGCTAGATCAGTCAGTCTCTTTAGTTCCTCTGCTTTCTTCTGACGAGCAGTCAGGATTTCCACTGCCAGATGAGAAGGAATAAAACATTAGAGCCGGAGATCTAAACATATTAAATGACCTAATTTCTTAGAGTCTGCTCTCCCTCCGCAGACCCATCCCTCTGTTGGACCGTGACTGTTTTCTGAGCTGGTCATCGAGGTGTGTTTGCCGTTGGTGCTCACGACCCACCACCTGCCTCTGTATGTCCTTACCCACTGATTCCAAAGCCAAACACGGTCCTTCTGATTCACTGCACACCCACAGTTTTCTTCATTTTCCTCCTTGGCATCTGCGCTCACGTACTTAAATTTGGACTTTTAAATGCATGCATTACTCAGAACAGCTATTTCTAAAAAAGACACTTATTAAAAGCCTATCTGAATGATACCGCAAAGACAGGGAGTCTATTAAGCAAAATCCATTCTTGCATGTGCTGTAATAATAAATTCTAACAGTGCCAGACTTTCTGAATTTTCATACATACTCATCGAGGGCAACTAGCTGTGTTATTGGAACATGATATAAAAGTTTTACTTCATTAGCTTTTTGTGAGCTAAAAAAATGTCTTCTTTTGCTATTCTGTAGACATGTTTCCATTTTGCAATCAGATCAAAGTTCCAGACCAGAGTGTCCTGTCCTTGTTATGTGTCCCCAATAGAAACATCTCCAGGGGGAGTGAAAGCCCTTTTGATCTGGATTCATGTGCACTCCGCAGCATCTGCACCCGCAGTGGGCACACCAGGGGGCTCTCTGGCACATTGCACACACCTGCCAGGTGAACTAGAGGTTCAAGTAGATGTAGTAGCCCACAAGTTAGTTTGTGTGCGTGTGTGTGTTTTCCAGAAGATCATGGAACTCAGAAACAATGAACAAAACCTATGGGGTGAGGTTTAAATATGAAGTCTGATCTTTCCATAGACAGACCTGTAGCTCTCTAACTCCAGCCACACATGAAATGCCCTCATTTCTTTTTGGACAAGTATTTTGAGTCATAAGGAAGGAGACGTCCGTCTAACTAAGATAATATGCACTTCAAATTCACATTCCAGTCTTGGCTGAACGAAGGTCAACTGCTTCATTAGATCCGATTCACAGCAGACACGCAGAGCCAAACAATGTGGTTTCTCATTGTAAGAGTTCTTAATGTATAAAATCAAAAACAGTCACCTTAAAAACCCCAGAAGAAGTTTAGAAGCAATCAACAGTTAAGAGTTTCTACAAACCGTAAATCATTCTTCAAACAGACTGAGAAACATTTTCTCTTTATTCTGTATGAATACTGAGAGGTCAATAAAATAAGAAATCTGTAACTCATAAAGCCTTATCGTCTACCAAACTACTCTAATAATGCCTTATTTACTGGGCTTCTCCTGCCTCCCACTTATAATAAATACCATGTAGTGGCCAGAGGCTCATCTGTGCCTGGCTGTCCTTCAGAATCCAGACGAGCCAGTGAAAAACTGGCCCCAATGATGAAGGGGAGGGGAAATTTTCATCTGAACACACACAGTGTATTTACTGAGTGCTGTCCCAGGTTACCCAGTCAGACCAGAGGACACGAAAAGGTGACCCATTATCACTTTCGGCTACAGAACACACGTTTTGTTTGGACCACACATTACAAGGTAATTTTTCAAATTAATTTTACACATTTGAAAATTCAGAGAGTCCATCTGAAATCTGGATTTCTGGCTTCTCTTAAAGTACTGGAATTTCTGGCCACCATTGGTGAGTGCTGCCATGTGGCAACAGCTGGCTGACCTGAGAACTCATTGCCCTTTTTAGATGAAGCACGGTGCTCAGCGTGCCTTGGTCCCTCCCCGCCCCGTTGTGCTGATTCCCGCTACCCGCCTGGCCTCTGGAACAGGCGTTCTCAATCACGGAGAGGCTGTACATGCAGTTATCTGTGTGCGTAACACTGAGGGGCTGGCACACAGTGGGTGCGCCACATGTCTGCTGAATGGAGGACCGAATGAATGAATCCATCCGTTATTTACAAAGCATATGCAGAGAAGGACAGAAGTTCCCTTCTTACAGGGGCCTCTTAAGAATGTCTAGGACTTGTACTTTATTAGTACTGTACTGTACTTTGTACTGTATTTGTTTTCCATTATAATTCAACCTACGGATGGGACTACTGTCCGAAGCATGAGACAATTACTTTTGAGTGAGAAGATGAAACAAAGGACTTTCTTCTTGCAAAGATTAAAAAAAAATTCCAAAGGCCCAGACTTAACAAGCAGCTAGTACAGGGGTCAGGAGACGCTGAGTGACTACACAGTTAAATACATCCGACTTTTCTCAACGGATCATTTGTGGGCAATTGTTCTTTTTGATTAAGTAGAACTTGGGCATTCACACCAAACAAAAGATTCTGTAGAAATAGATATAAATGGGCCCTAAAATAGGAAAGCAGGTGCAAGATCGCCAATACATTCTTAGTTTACAGTCATGCAAATGTGCGTGGAAATGAACATTTTGCATCAGCAAGTGTTGGGATGAGTTTTACATAGAGTCTCATGAACATTTCAAAGCCTTTCATTATGAAAAAGCCTTAAAACTTGAGACCTTAAAGCTAACTAACATTCTTTGAGGGGAGGCAACATTTTTACCTCAAAAACATCAATCACAGAAATAAAAAGCAACAAACAAAACCAGATCAGATCCTAAAAACCACTAATCCTAAAATTTAAAATAGAAGAGTAAGTACGTTTGAAAGCCCTTTCATGAGTCCAAAGAGGGGGACAGTTCCACACATTTAGATGGTGACTGCATTCAGGACTTGATTAATATCATCGAGGCACTTTTATAAAACACTATCTGGCATGCTGAAGTCCATTTTCTCAAAAGGATTTATCAATCCCTTCAAGTTTCTGAAACACAGTGAAAACTTGTTCTTATTGCTTGAACCACAGAAAATGTTAAGGCTTCTTGAATCATACTCTTAGCAGAGGGAGTGCTTGAGATCTCAGGGAACTCAGAGCCGGGGCAGGGGTAGCTCTTCAAGCACAAAGATTCTTTGAAATCCTTTTTATTTCTAAAACGTTCTTGTGAATTTTGCATTTTATTTTATAATACACATTCCCATTAGTGTAAAGCAATGCTTTCTTCCCTCATCTCTTGTGAACCTGACACTCCAAGATGCCTCTGCAGGCCTTCCGTTCCTGGGGTCTGCAGACCGACGCGACCTCAGCACTGCAGGCTTAGTTTCCTCCTCTGTCGAACGTGATAAGCACACACACCTGGTAGGGTTATTGTGAAACTAAATGAAATAACTATGTGAAATGTTTAGTATAGGACATTAAAAAAGGCTAACTATGAATATTAATAATAAAGTGAGATATATTCTTCTAGAACACACTTCCTCTCTTTGTAATTACATGAACGTTCACTGACACTGGATTCGACAGCCTATAGACACTGAGTTAATTAGTGTACAATGATTTGTTTAACAAATATGAAGTACCTACAGTCTTCTCAGCATCGTGTTAGGTGCCATGAGGGATGTAGGAGCTTACGTTAAAATTGAGGACATATGGTTTATGCCACATGCAGGAAATGAAAAATACGCATGAGACAGTAGATAAGCAAGCTCAAGACGGTGGCTGCAAAGATTCAGTACTTAGTGGGGGAGGAAGTCAATGGTTCCTTCTATCAGTGGAGAAGATAAATAGTTAACACAGGTATGTCACCTGAGAGATGCTGCAGAACCCCTGTGACCTCCACTTGCTGCCTGTCATGTGAGAGGGCGGGGCTAACCTCCTTACTGAGGACTTTCTCCTTTTTGCACACATTCTGTGTCAGGCACTGTGCTAAGTGCCTGGCACATATTTTCTCATTTTACCTGTACAATAATGATTAGAAATAGGTATTACTCTTATTCCCTCTTTTCTGGCATGCAACCACAGGCTTTCAGAAATTAACAAAATGGTTTGAGGTCACACAGCCAGTAAATGAGTAGAACTTGGATTTGAACTCAGTTCTGCTTGCCTCCAATGCGTGGGAACTGGCTTCTCCGGGGCTCTGGGCAGTTCCAAGACCAAGAACTGCAGCACCAATTACTGAAGTCAGGTGACCCCTGTCATCCAGTGTAGCTGTTGCAGCTGACCTGCATGCTCCCCTGGTTGCTGTTCGCTGTTTATCCCAGGCACTAACAGTGCTTCGCACACAAGGAAGCACGCACGTAGTAAATGTTTATTGATTGAATGAGCTGTAAAAATGGGGCTGCTCTCCCGAGACGCTCCAAATTCCACGGGTCTTGGCACCTAATATGGTCCCAAGAAGAAAGAACGAGCACACAAAATCGCAGGTCTTTTGTTAACCTCTTAAAAAGTGATTGCTAGCAACTTTCGATTTCGGTGCTAGAGAAAACATTTGTGTCTGTGTTGGTGCTTAGTGTTTTTACCAATAAGACATGAAACTGGAAAGGAAAAATAAGCTTTACCTGAGAAACAGGAAAAACCCCATCATGTGGAAATCTACTTTTATTGAAGAAACCAACACATTTCATAAGAATAAAACAATGTCCCAGTCAAAGGGATTGTGTAACTACCTAAATATTCTGCAGTTTAACCCCAGGTCACATTTAGTTTTATTTAATAAAATCTGCTCTGTTTTAAATTCTAAAATGTTTTTTAAAATTATTTAGAAAAATTGGATAACAAAAATAGCGATGGCTATTTTCCATAAAGGAATGACCGAAGTATGGTCAAGGGCCAGGTGAGAAAAATATTTTTAAAAAGGGAGAATTTGGTCTGATTCTTCATTCTGGTAAAGAGCAATGTGCCGAAATTAAAGGTAAAGGGATTAAGCTGAAACCTGGTTGGGGTTGCAGACTGCCATTTATCTAATTCCTGAGGTAAAATTTCAGTAATGATGAAGAATTTAAAATGCCCGGGAGATACGGAATTGTAAAAGTAAATCTCAACTTAAAAATATGGTCTTAGGGTTCCCATTAACACAGCAGACAGGATTCAATAGTAAGAGAGAGCCCAGGGTGTCCTTTTGTGGCTTGTATCAAATCTGTGCAATCTTGTCTCAGTTGAAATTTTCAATCCATGAAATTCAGCCTGTTTGAGATGGTAAATCTGCCCTACTGGCTGTTGAGTAACTTCACAACAGTGGCAAGGTTTAGGAATAAGTATAAAGATAACAAAATAAATCAACCCAGAGTATTAATATTTTGGGTTAACATCAGGAAAAATTTTGCAATCATCAAGATCGTCTGAGTGTGTTCATTATTTAAAGGGAGTATTTGGTACATTAAACAACCTCACTTGTGATTTCAATTTAAAACATGTAATTCATTTTCTTTGGACGTGTCAACTTGGCAGGTGTCAGCGAGTTTGACTAAGCTTGTGAACAGAATTGCAGTGTTCTAAGAAAACTTCACTGAGTACATCTCTAAGTTTGAATTATTACTCTTGTGAGAGTTGCTTAAAAGCTTGGAATACTTTGCCCTTTATTTGTGAGTTTGCCTTGTCAGGCATCTGAGGTGCTCGGAAAAAAATCAGATTTATTAAATATATAAATGCTATTCAGAACGTTAAGAGGAATTTCAGTGAGTTCCAAATGGGACTAACTTTTTTAGGGGAATTTAATTTGTTGAACTTGAGTTAGTTGAACCTAAAAAAGACCAAGTGAAAAGGATTGTATAAGTTGTATAGCAAGATTTGTAAGTTGTGAAGGCTTAAAAGTTATGTGTTAAAATTTAATACTAAATTTAATGCCATTTTAAACCCAACTAACTATAAGTAGTTCATTATATGCACCCAAGTCCCTTTGGACTTCAGAGAGCTCAGTGGACGCTGGCTACTTGCCGAGTGCCTCGTCTGCCACGTGCTCAGTGGGTGCTACTACCCTCCTCCGCCACGTGCGGCTACTGGGGTTTCCAGGGGCCAAGTGACTTACTTGCCTACAGTGACAGAGCTCGTGAGCCAGGATCAACGTGTGAATTTTAGGACCCCACTCAGAATCCACATCACTGTCCGCCTGACCTACAGATTGCTTCTGATTGAGAGGCTCTAATCCAACAACCAGGTGTCTACTTACTGGCTTCTTCTTTAACTTTATCCATTTCTGCCATTAATGAAACTTCTTTGTCAATGATGCTGGAGGGAAAACAAAACAAAACAAAAACAAAAGCAAAGCATGCTTAGTCAAAGACAAACTTTTAATAAGCACTGGAAGTAAAAGAAAGATTATTTTCATTAAACAAAATACAAAATTACCATAAATATTTCTATGTTACAAAGCCAGCAGCACACTCTGCTTTTCCAAAAATGAGCCAACGTGGAAGGGATGCTCCCAAGTATTACATAGTGACATCTGCTGATTAACTAACTCATTGTCAGCAAATCTAAAAACAAAATGCCTTTTTCAGACTTTCCGAATGGTGCTGCTTTGAATTTAAATTTGGGAGTACTTTTGCCCTACGAATCCCAAAGTTCCAGAACAATATACTAACTATTTAAAAAGCTGGCACTCAGGTTTTCAAGGCTTGTAGTTCTCAGTGTCTCTATGCTCCACTCTCCCAGATTCTTCTGGCTTGTGGGGGCCGGGTGGGCCCCATTCTGATGCAGACGTCCGAGACCCATGTGGTGGTCTGGGTCAGTGTGTCCACATGCTCTACGGTACGAGTTTATGCCTTCTCATTCTCCCAAATAAGCATTTCAAGCAACTTCAAATGAACGTTGTTCCAATATATTTATTTTTGGGTTAGTCTTTTGAAAAGGTATTACCTGCATACAGTAATTATTGCTCCAAATTTCGTTTTTCTCCCGTCTCGACTCCTAACTCCCTTCCTAGAAGCAATGCATCATCAGAAATCTCTTACACACCCTTTTCACCGATTTTTATGTCTGTATAAGCATAGATGTCATGTGTTTTTAATTTTCATTTCAACCATAAATATTTCAGTATATATCTAAAAGATAAGGACTTTTTGGTACTCTAACTGTAGTATTACATTGATACCTAAAAATGTTAACAATAGTTTAATGTTATCAGACATTAAATTTCCCCATACATTTTTTAAAAGTTTGGTTGAACCAGGATCTAAGTAAGGCCGGTTTATTGCAACTGGTTGATTGTCTCTTAAATCTGTTTTAATGTATAGATTCCCTTTCATCTCTCTTTTCTCCCCTCCTTTGCAATTCCTTTGTTGCAGAAGCCAGGTTGTCTCGTACAGTTACTTGTCCAAGGTCTGAATTTTGCTGACTACATCTGTATGGCATTATATAACCCATTCTTTTATATTTCCTATATATTTGTTATGATAAAGAAATCTGATTGGATTCAGATTTGTTTTTTTATTTCAGGAGAAGTACTTATATACTTTCATTGGTAATGACACAGCACACTTGTAAATATCCTTTCTCAAACAAAATCAAACCTGAGTGCATTCAGATCTCTATATCTTGTAAGAAATTTGTAGGAAACACAAAGGAAATCTCTATTTTTTCAGTGATATTAGCAGCCATTGATGATCACTGTCTAGATCGATAGGGTTTGAAAAATGGGGACATTCAAATTTTATTACTCCTTCATTTAGTTACCGGAAATTTTCCACAAAGAGAAACTTTCCATTATTAACTATCTGGGTTATCATGAAGTAAAGTTTGTATAGATAAGGCAGGATAAATATTTGCTTCTCTCCTTTTATTTATCCGGTTTCACAATGATAGTTGGTGCCTTAGCATTCTCCAAAAGCAGTCAATGAGATTTTTTGCTTGTGTGTACAGTTTAATTACGAATTCATACTTAATGCACTTGAATACACTGCACTTACTGTCCTTACTCCTGTGCAGACTGTTCCATCAGATGTGCTTTCTAACCTTCCAACAGATGTGTGCCTACAATTTAAAGTGTGTTGAAAACTGGTTTCCTCTTTTATGTATTCGTCAAGGTAAGAAGCAGTTCCTGGGGTATATCTGTAGGAGTGTTGGGGATCCTAGACCAGATGATGCAGCCTCAACACTTCAGGTGGAAGGACTGTGTGCTGAGGACCTCAGCTCTTTGCAACCTGGAAATCCTAATGGAAAGAACTGACGTGAACAGTGAATGGCAAATTCTCCAGAACTGGGCTCTAAGCCAAACCCATCAAGCTTAGACACCAGCTATTTCCATGACGCATATGGCTTAAGGTCACCGGACAGGATAACTTCTGTGTAACCAGCAGATCAGGTTACCAGAACCTTACTTATTGACATTATATAGGCATGATGTCAATGTATTTTAATGTAGGAAGTATGTGATTAATAAAGGTGTGTGGTGAGAAGGAAGTCTTTATCTCATCTCTGTTCCAACTTACTTAGTTCTCCTTGGAGGTCTCCACCGTTATCAGCTTCTTGTGTTTCTTTCCAGAGACCTTCTATTCAGAAACCAGTATATATTTGTTAATTATATGAAATGTTGAATTGGATCAACAGGCTGGTGTCCCTGTGATTATGAGGTACATTTAGCTTCTCTGTCAAGTTCACAAATGCAGCCACCACTGAGGCCAAGTGATTTTTTGTTTTTAACAACTCTCTTAGCGAGGGCAATTCCATGTTAGTTCAGGGAAACAAGGCTGGTCCGTAAGTGAGGAAGGAGATAAGGTGAGTGCCTAGAGCGCCAGAGTCAGGAGCCCACATTCCAACAGCATGGTTAAGCTATTCTGCCTGAGAAAATGGTTTGAATTTTTCCCCTATAGAAGGGAGGAGAGACGAGAGAAAGAGCAAAGTCAGCAAGGAGGCTGGGGGCTGTGTACTCGGAAGATCTGGGAGAAATCACTCACAGTGGGGTGGAGGTGGGCAGAAGCACGTCCCAGACGCACAAGGTCTCAGGTGCCACTGTAAGGTGTACTCTGCTTGGTGCACACTTACAGACACTGAGGAAGTGGCTTGGTTGTATGTCCACATCAGTGCAAGGCTCAGCAGACGGGAAGAGGCCACAGCCTGAGGGCAGAGTGAGTGTGGGAGTAGGTCCCACCCCACCCCCAGAACTGGCGCAAATCTGCAGGAGGGCTTTTTATTTCCACAGGGCATGGACCAGGAGTCCCAGATGACTTCTTTGGGGCTTCAGGGGCTGGAAGACTTCAGCTGACTTATGAGTTACAGGTCATGTAAGACTTGTCCTCCATCCTCTTCCCCAACGGTGTGCAGCAGGGCTGCACAGGGTTGGGATGGCTGGACAGGAATATGCCACAGAGAGCAGTACACACAGGTGGAAACTGACAGAACATTCATCCAGTGAACAAATATTTGCTGAGTGCCTGCCACGTGCCAGGCGAGGGCAGTGGGGCTGGGAATACAGCTGTGGTTAAAAAAATATCCTACCATCTTTGTGGAGCCTCCATTCTCTTCGGGAGAACTGAGAGAAAGAAGGTGAGAGGATCTGCCTTTACTGGGAAAATTACTGGGAAAATAGTGAGAAATGGAAAAGGGAAGAAAACGAGGACGGCGAGAAGAAGAAATTAGGGCTCCCCTATCCTCAACCAACCAGAAGGCTTCTATTAGTCCCCAGGTTTTGAGAGCAAGTCAAGTACACAGCTTATGAGAATGCATTCACGTGATACAAGACTGGGTACCTTTAGACTTCCAGGGGTGTGAGGGGTGGCGCAGACTGCAGTGAGAGTGCCGGGACAGCCTGGCAAAGTCCCCCTACCCCCTTGGTCCCCAAACAAGGCCATAGACCCTGGCGGATGGGACCCTGTGGCCTGTGTGTGTGTTGGGTGGGAAGAAGGGTGTAGGAAGGGGCCTTTGCTAATTTCTTTACCAGCTACAAAATCATGGCAGGCTTTTGTTGATTAAATTTGTTGACACAATTATATGCCCAGAGTGCTCACAAGATGGACATCTGGGGTATAATATGTATCCCCAGGTCTAACACATATTACACGAAGCTGGCTGTTCACACAATGGTCAGGTCTGGCCTTCTGGGCTAGCAAATGGAGGAATGAAGGTTATACACAATAAATTGTTAATCTGCTTAATGCCCACTTGAGGATGTGAAAAAGCCTGTGGTGTTGGCATCAAACCATGTTTCTATTCCTCTGGGTATTTCAACAAAACATTGTCCTCAAGAGTCTTAGTAATTTAAGCACTGCTCTGTAGGACTGCAGATAAAGGCGAGCCAGAGAATCTCTGCTGAGTCAGCGCCCTGTACCCAACCCACGATCGGAATGCAAACCAGGATCGGCTGCTGGCCCGAGACTTCTCCCCCTGAACCTCCCTCAACAATCTCAAAAAGGAGCACCTGAGGGTTTTCTGGGATGTTTGCTTTCGAGGCAGCAGGACTGTGGAAGGGAAGGACAGCCGTGGGAAGTGGGTGCAGAGGACGAAGCAGCGGAGGCCAGCCTATCCCCCGGCGGGCCGTCACACGGCGAGGAGCCAGCGTCTCATCAGACTGAGTGCCAGACCGAAGGAAGAGTCCAAGAAGAAAGACCGTGTCTAAACCCTTCCAGATGTCCACAGGGCCTGGTGTCACATCCAGCTACATGAGGAATTTCATCAGTGCCATTTGCAAGTCCTACTGAATCTCCTCAGAGGAACTGGGACCGAGATGCACGCTGAAAAACAGCTCTGTGGGCTGGGTAAGGACAGAGTGCAGGGCCAGCCGGGGGACGGAGTCACCAGGTTTGGAGGGCTGGAGGGAGGGCCTTCGAGAGGAATGACATCAGAGAGTTGACGAGTCACAGAAAAATCACAGTGTCATGAACCACATTCCCACAGGGGGAGAAGAAAGGTCGCCTGCTTGCTTTCCAGGTAAACCTGGGTAGGGTGTACAAGCCCTAAGCTGCCTCAGAATGAGGGCTGATCACAGCTGACACAGCCTGAGTGCTTGCTGTGTGCAGGGCACATTAAACAGCGCACCAGTGCCTTACTGGGTAATCTCAGTTAAGCTTCACAACACCCCAGAGTGTATGCGCTCTGCTCTCTACTCACCACAGGGCCTTGGCACATGCTGTTCCCTCTACTGGAAGACACCGCTCCTTCCCAACCCTGCGTTTCTTCATCTCATTAACTCTGAGTATCCCTTCTGGTCTCTGCTTAATCATTACATCCCCAGGGAAGCTCTGAGTTTTCAGAAACTTCTGTTTAACTTTATGATCTTAGACCATTGTGGGCTG